ACTGCCCTTTCACCAAGACCTGCTTAGGACTTTCCTGGGGTGTTCTTTATCGTTGATACCATTGGTTACCAGTGACCAGTCCTGCTCCCTCACATGTTGAAGGTGTAGCCTTAGAGGAACACGCCAAGGCAAGCACATAAAGCAGGATTCATTTAAAAAGGGGTAACATGTTACCTTCTCCCCAAGAGGGAGAAGGGGCCATAGCTGGTGTCCTGGTGTACCAAGAAGCGAGGCCTTCTGTCTTCTTTACATGTCCTAGGCTTGCTGTGTTCTCCTGCTCTCTTCCCCTTAGCTCTTCTTCCTGACTAGGCCCAGGAAAAGCTCAGTAGGATGGCCCAAAGGTGGGAAACAGGTGGGCTGAAGGGGAAATTGCTGGATGGAGCAGCCCTGGACACGTTGCTTTAGAAATGTACATGTAGTTTATTATCAATTATTTATTTATCACAATGCTAGTGATTGAGGCCAGGGGCCTCATGTACACTGGGCGAGGGCTGTACCACTAAGCCCCATCTCCAGTCCCAAAAGTGTGTGAATTTTAATCACTTAAAATCTCGGAATAGAATCAAACTGTCTGTGCCACTGACATTTTCCTTGCTTTTGTTTCTGTATTTAACATCACTGGATGTAGTTTATTTCTCAGAGTCTTCTAAGAAAGACACCACTGATGTATTCACATACATAGAATTCTAGAAGGCTTCTCACTCCTCAACTCCCCATTAACTCTATGCCAGTCCCAGCGCAGCAGACCTGCTAGAGCTGGCCTAGGATGTGGCATCTAAGCCTGCCTGCCTTCCACAAGGAAGCCAGGCCTGTGTGATGCTGAATGCGGGCATGAATTCATAGCAGCAGCTTTGAAGGTATCCCTGGTCCTCCTCTGAGGTTACTTCTTTATATGCTTAATCCAGAAGTATTTTTTTATTATTATTAGTTGTTCAAAACATTACAAAGCTCTTGACATATCATACGTTTGATTCAAGCAGATTATGAACTCCCATTTTTACCCCGTATACATATTGCAGATTCACATCCACTTTTTTACATACTGCCATTTTCTGCCCAACACCAAGCCAGTTAAATTAGGATAGTAATTAATGCATCTCTCTTGTGAAAAACTTGAATACTTTTTTTTCTGGTTGGCATTATATAGTTAATCCTCAAGATGATTGCTGATTAAAGACATTTGGATGGAACACTGCGCTAGGTGTAGGATTTTTCTTATAAGCTGCTAACTCAAAGGGGTGTGAAACCAAGCGTAAACTAAACAATAAACAGATGTAGTCGCCAAATATAGAATGCCTGGGTCTGACTTCAGTGGGGCACCCTGAGATGATAGGGTGTCTGTGGAAAGGTACAATTTATAGGTCACAGCATAATGGGAACCTTTCACTGTGCAAATTGAAAATTAACCTTGGGAGTATTGGGTCATTTGCAGTTTCTGAAGAAGTCGTACTGGAAAAACGTGTAGCATTTCCATCTCATTTCAGGTGTGCTCTCCTCCCTCCTGGCAGAGTTGGTTCTGTTGTCATCCTTGTGGTTTTTTTCAAAACTGTAATTTGGAATTTGTTGCTGATGTGCTCAATTACAGGACTGGATCATCACAGATGATTTTAGCCTCTCGGTACACTTCAGTCTCTTAGTAACACCCTGGAGGCTCAGAGTAGAGTTCCGATTCCAGTTCCTATCCTCTCGGCACTGGTGATGGGCCAGTTGGCATTTAGCACAGCCTTAGCCAGCAGGGGACACCAGTGCCGAGAGGATAGGCACATGTTGCTGCTGCTGTATGGCACACTTCCTGTACCCAAAACCTAGGGTACAGGAAGCCATCTGATATTCTCAAGGGCACACATTCCTGCAGCCCAGCCAAGTCCTGCAAGTAGGAGTTTCTAGCCCTTGCATCCCTGCCCCCGGGAGATGACGGCCTCCTGGCTACTGTGACCTGCGGGCTTTGTCAGTGCATGCATAGAGGGTAAGCCCTTCACCACCGGCTCGCAGGACTTGAGAACTTGTGGTTTTCCACAGCATTTGAGAAGCATTAAGCATGCCATCTGTTACTGTTTGTATGATTTCTCTTCTGGGAAGAGTACACAGAGATCTTACTGAGATCATCAAAATGGACAAAATTTGCTGATTTCACTTATTTTCCACAAAAGGGAGAAGTATCTGTTACATATGGAGAGCGGGGAGCTTGGAGCTGATAAGGTGAAATTCCAGTCCTCTCAGAGCAGCCTGCTGTCAGTAGGCAGCACTTCAGTGTGACTCAACTTGCCCAGAATACACCAGGAGGCCGGGTCCGGGCCTCATGTCCTGTCCTGCCTCCTTGGGCTTCACATTCCAGCCTGTTGAGTACCCTCTCCACATCCAAGAGCCACCACCTGTGTAAGGACACGGATATTAAGCAGATCAGGTCAAGGTTATATTCTTTCCCAGAGTTTAACTCTCAGGCCAGTACTGGGGCTACAGCCGGTGCACCCAGGTGTCCTGGCCTTACATGCAGGTTATTAAAGAGAGACATAATGCTCCTCTCTTAAATAAAAAAGCTGATTACTTAATTTCATTGTGTTGCTCTTAACAAAATAATAATATTCTGTGCAGTTAAATCTCCTTACTTGGCTTTCTAATATCAGCTAAGTGTTGATTTCTATTACTTTAAACATAATATTTTTCCAAACAGTTCAGGCCGAGAAAGAATCCAGACACTGCATGGCCATTGCTGTTGCAGAAAGCAGGTCCTTGAGTTGTGCTCAGCAACTCAGGTCTCGGCATGGACCAGAGAGGAGTGCAGCAGATGAGGCCTTGGAGCACACCCCCAAGCCCTGTGGTTCCAGGAGGCGGCCCTGATGATGCAGGCGTGGGTGGTGTGCAGTGGGTTAACGCCCTCCTTGTATCTAGGGCAGGACTAGTATTCTACTTGGGAACAGCAACTGGTACCCCAAATCATGTTCTGTTTTCTGAAGAACTCAGATGGAGAAAGGCTGTTTGGTTCCCCATCCCTCGCCTTTTTTAGAGAAATGTATTTTTGACTTTGTAACTGAAATAAAAATATTAGACCATTATAATTTCACTCTCAATCCTGAATTTCTAGAATTATTCTATTCCATTTACCATAAGCTAACTCCACTATGTAAACTTTTTTTTTTTAAATATCAGAACATTATAAGAGGTAGTTTTATCTCTGCTCCAGCAACTACATTCAATTTATAACTAGTAATTTTAAAATGCATTCATTTTTATGCATCTTTATTATCCTACAACAATAGGATACCAACCCTATGGTAACCTTATCCAGTTTGTTGTTGGCCCAGTGAAGCGATGGATAGCCGAGAGAGAGCAGAGGAGCTTCCTCCCACTGCCTGGGACAGGCGTTTGGCACCCTAGTCTTCGGCTATGCTCCTACACTTTGCCCCAAGCCGTCAGCGGTCCTGGGAAGTGCTCGATTGCTTTTGCCCACTGTCCCTCACTCTCCCTGCCCTATGCCGCACACACTCCCAGCACCGAAAGCATCCCATCTCTGGAAGTCTTACTGGAAGTATCCTGCAGTTGGGTTTGTGGCAAGTTATTAGAAAACCTGATTTTAAAAATGATTTCCTGATCTACCCAAGAGAACATATCAAGTGGGACGTGTGAGCAAGGGCTGAGTACACAGCTCGGTGCTCTGAACATCCACTGACCATTCTGGTGTTGGTGTTGGTCTCTTGCCCTCCTGAACCTGGCCACCGTACACTCAAGGCACCAAGATTATAGGGATGCAGGCATTGCCTGCTCCAGAATCCTAACCTGAGCAGTCAGCCTCGGAACGAGAGCTGCTAAGAATTTTTCCACAGCCTCACCAGATATTAAGATTCAATTGATAACATCCTGAACACAGCCAGAATTTTAAATGTCCCTGAGATGACTTGCGTCTCAAAATCCAAAATGAGATCCTAACAGCATAGGTGGCAGTGAGACTTGAAAGCAGGGGTGAGCTCACCCTGCCTCTGAGAGACTTGAGCTCCGAGGGACCCGCCCAGTCAGGCCCTGGGAGCTGTGACATTGCTGGCCAGTGACAAGGCTGTGCCTTCAGAGCAAAGGTGAAGGGTGCCCAACCTTGGGAAGCTGCAGAGCACAGAGCTGGTCTTGTGGGCATGCTGTGACAGTCTCCAACCCTGGCAGCATGTTCATCGCAGAGGGTGTTCCCGTTGGGTAACATTCTCTCGGCCACTGCCAAGCTTGGTGTGCCGTTAACTGACCAGCTCTCCCGTGATAAGGCTCCTCAGAAAGACAGACATTCTTTTCCAGAAAGTGCTTGATTGTCATAAAATACTTAACATACAATATTAACTTTAGAAAATATCTTCTTATGAGTTTTAAATTTTAATAAGTTATTAAAGTAACTCTAAGTAAGAATAAGTAAGAGCAGCTCCTATTGTTTAGTACCTACACACACCAAAGACTCAGCTTACATTTCTTCAGCCTTAGGACAGCTTGCAGAAGCATATTTCCACCTGGCAGAGCTGGAATTGAACTGGTGAGGTGAAGAGACTGTGCGGAGCTACTGGCTGGCCTGGGCAGACTCAGAGCCCAGGCTGCCCTCTACAGGCCTGATCTGCAGGCTCCGGCTTTTCGTCCCCTTCAGGTCGGAAGATATTCCACGTAGACACATTCATGTAGTTGGTCAGACACCAATTTCTCTCTCATGTTGGAAAAAAATAGGAATAAACAAAATTCAGATTACTTGCTCCCTTCTAGGGTTTAAACATGACTAGCTGTAGGGAGCTCATCGACACAGAGTACAAAAGGAAGCCTTTATGGTGCATAATGGACCATGTTACACAGCAGGCCAAGGGACTTTCTGCCACATTGCTTATTGCTCACCTGTATGTAATATGGCACAGAAATGAAAAGTTCTAGACACTGCAGTTTCTCTGCCTTCATGTGTCTGGGGACACTTTGCATGCAAGGTACCATGTCCTCTGGGCACAGCATCCCCAAGGCAGTCAGACCTCACACTGTGGTCTCTTCAGGTCGCACTGGTGCGGTGGACAGAAAGTGTCGGGCTCACTCTGGTCAGCAGGGACCTCACCTCCATGCAGCTGAAGACGCCTGGCGGCCAGGTCCTGACCTACTGCATCCTGCAGGTGTTCCCCTTCACCTCGGAGAGCAAGCGGATGGGCATCATTGTCAGGGTATGCTGCCGCTTGTGCTGGGCCCGGAGACACTTCAGTGTGCTTTGTGTGGACAGCTTGAGCGGTTCCTTTTTTAATCTTTTAAAGCAGATACAAAATCCTCCCTCTCCACAAAAAAAGGTTAAAGTTAAGTACGTATTCGCTTTGTGCTTGTTATGGTTTTTTAAAAAATAAAACAAAATCTAAACTAATAATTTATGAGTGAGACACCAGAGTGGCCATAATGACATAAAATACCTGGTGATGTGAAACATCTGTTCCTAACACTGCTAAGGGAGAATAAGTAAAAGATGTTACTAATTTTCAAAATCAGCTAGTTGTTTTGTGTTTAACAAAAGTAACGTAACAAAAAGTTTAACTTAATAATGATTTTTAACCATAAAGTTTCTGTATGTACCTGTGTTCAGCTTTTCTTAGCAAATAACAATAAAAAATATTTGGAAGTTTGTTAAACAGGAAAGCATTTGATCAGACTTTGATGCTTACAGTATAGCCCAAGTCATTTATTCATTAACAGAATTTGTTTCAAAAATTTCCTCCCAGCATCTCAAGTGTGTAGTGATTTTCCCGATTCTTACTGCATTGCGTGTAAAGGCGCCTGTCACTTGGAAAGCAAGCAGCTTCCCACAGGGAAGGCATTGTTAAGAGTTGTTTTTTTCGGTGCATTTTCTATTAGACCAGCAGTTATTTGCAAGGAGCTAGATAGCCCAACTGTCCCCGTGTTTATTTTCACTCCATACAGGATGAGTCCACAGCAGAAATCACATTCTACATGAAGGGTGCTGACGTCGCTATGTCCTCCATCGTCCAGTACAATGACTGGCTGGAAGAGGAGGTAAGTGGGCCACGCTTGGCACTGTGCAGCCACACATGTTCGTGGAACTTAGGAAACATCAGATGACCGAAAAATTGTCTCCTCCCCACAGCTTGGGAGACACTGGTGTCATTGGAGTAGGTCAAGGTACAGAGATGTCAGACCAGGTCCTGGAAGGGTTCCAGGGGTGGTGTCATTTCCCACCAGATTGTTCTGAGTAGTCATGGTTCTCATACTGGTTAAGCAAAAAGGATAAGGCCCTAGTTAATCATGAGGCTTTCTATACAATTAACTATTGCTGTTTTGTTTGTAAAATCATGTGGATGTGCACCAGGAGCCCCTTATAGAGAATAATTTTATGTGTAATACTGAAAGTATAGAAAACATCATCAGTCATTCACTAGAGAGCTGTGAAATAGCACTGTGTGTTTAAACAAGGTTAGGCTTTAATATGACATCTAGTTAATATGCAAGGAGATTTTAATTCGAATTTTAGTATTATGCTAGTCAGTTCACTTAAAAGTAGAAAATAATGTACATACACCAGTAATCCTAAATTAAATTGAATGAGAGTCTACAATGTATTAAGTTTACATTTTAATTGATAGCTGGGTTTCTGAGTAAAGCCAGACCAGTTGTAATGGCAAGTACAGCCCTTTTCCCTGTTTACATGTTGTTCTGCTGCTCAGAGCTCTCCTGTCAGTGCAGTGACCACACCCAGTGTTCGCATGATATTGGCAATATGAATCAATATCTCCTTCAGGGCACTTTGATTTAATCAGGGACATGAATAAATTAAACTCCCTGAAGACCTAGTAAAATGCCATAAAAATTACTTTTGGTCATAATGATGTGCAATTAATTGTAAAATACTTGTTTAATTTATTTAGCTTTATGAGGTCAAATCAATAAATGTCTTGCAACAGACAGATAATGTCAGATTGTTTTTCACAAAGATAACTTTATTAAAAATCCTATGTACATTTATTTTCTCAGCATTGTGCTTTGTTTCATAGATGAACCTTTTGGCCCTTTGTGGTGTCTTTGCTGTAAACCGTTGTAATCAGAGCCTTTCAGTGTATTAAGAAATAAGCAAAGCAATCACTGCAGGGGTCTGGGTTTGTGCTCTGCTTTTTGTTGCAAGCAGAACCTGGAGTTGGCTTCTTGGCTGCAAACTGTGTTCTCCAGTTGTGCAAGGAAAACACTCTACGTTGATCATATTACAGAAAGCACCATTCTTCAAAATTGAAACATCAGAGTATTCACACATATTAACACACAGAAAAAAAAGTAATGTTCTGGATGAAGGGAGGTGTGGCAGTGATGGGCCTCTTCCCTCTAAACACAGACCCGAATTAGATCCTGATGTGGTGTCCCGGGAGAGCAAGCTCAGCCCTCCTCTGTGGTACAGCAACAGTCCCCTCCCTCGTCTACATAGCCTAACCCTGGAAGTTGCTGAACTGGACACTGGGAAGGACTTAGCTCATGAGTGTCTGAGTGGGTAGTATTGGACCCCAGGCTTCTTCCCCAGCCCTTCCTGCCACTGCAGCCTACAGATTTAATACTGGGCATCAGATCCAATAAGCTGGATGAATTAAAAACGTATTTTCAGAAAATCTGGATATTTTAATAATTTTTATTTGCCTATAGACAAACATCTCTTCATCAGATGCTATGCCTGGCTTTATTGGAGGTAGACATCCCACATTCAGCTTCCTAAGAGATGGTAGGGGTGACAAGTGCCTGCCTGTGGCTTGGGGTCTGTGGTGTGCAGAGTTGGGTCTGAACTGTTAATCAGTACACCCCAGGAAGTTCAGGATCCCTGCCCATGCCTAGTTCTAAAGGCCCAAATCCCTAAGTCAGTTGTCTTCACTGCCTGACTGCCTATCACTGTAGGTCTGTTACTGCTGTAGAGATGCAAGATACTTCCTGAACATGTGAGTCATCACAGGGCTTGTGACAGCCTTCGTGGGGGGCATGATTGCTCTCCTTTTCTCACCATTCAGCTATAGCATTCTATAGCCCACCCAACTCACTGTAATTTTTTTAAATTCATTTGCTGAGTACAAAAAAATTGATATAATCCCTTGCATCTTATCATTTCATAATGGAATGAAATTAGAAATCAACAGAACCAAACCCTACAGAAACTATATAAACACTTGGAGATTGAACAGTACTCTATTGGATGATGAAAAGGATGATAGGAGAAATTTTAAAATTCTTAGACTTGGGGCTACAGTAGTGGCTCAGTGGTTGAGCACTTGCCTGGCATGTGTGAGGCCCTGGGTTTGATCCTCAGCACCATGTATAAATAAATAAATAAAATAAAAGATCCATTGACAACTAAAAAATATTTTTTAAAAAAATTAAAAAATAAATAAAAATTCTTAGGCTCAAATGGGAATACTCATACAACATTTCAGATCCTCTGGGACACTATAAAGGCAATTTTAAGACAAAAATTTATAGCTATGAAAATCAGAAAGATCCCAAATAACCTAAAAATGTGTCTCAAGGCCCTTGAAAAAGAAGAACAAACCAATTCCAAAACCAGTAGAAGAAAGGAAATAATTAAGTTCAGAGCTGAAATCAATGAACTTGAGAATTAAAAAAAAAAAAAAAAGATACAAAGGATTGATGAAGCAAGGGGTTGTTTCTTTGAAAAGATAAACAAGATTCATAAGCCCTTAGTCAAACTAACCAAAAGAAAAGGCAGAAAAAAACAATTTAATAAAATTAGAGATGAAAAAGGAGAAATCACCACAGACATCTCAAGAATTCAGCAGAACATTAGGGACTATTTTGAAACCTTCTACTCCAATAAATTGAAAGACCTAGAGGAAATGGTTGCATTTCTAGACAAATGTGATCTGCCAAAACTGAATCAAGAGGACATAGAAACCCTAAACCAGTAACTTGTAATGAGATAAAATCAGTAATAAAAAAAAATAATCTTCCAACAAAGAAAAGCCCAGGACACTTGGATTCTCGGCTGCATTCTACCAAACCTTTAAAGAACTAATGCCAATACTCTCAAATCATTTCATGAAATAGAAAGGGATGGAACACTTCCATTCATTCTATGAAGCCGATATCACTCTCATACCAAAACCAAATAAAGACATTTCTTTTTTTTTTTTTTTTTTTTTTTAATTGTTGGTTGTTCAGAACATTACATAGTTCTTGATATATCATATTTCACACTTTGATTCAAGTGGGTTATGAACTCCCGTTTTTGCCCCGTATACAGATTGCAGAATCACATCAGTTACACATCCATTGATTTACATATATATGTAGATAAAGACATTTCAAGGAAAGAAAATTACAGACCAATATCCCAGGTGAACTTAGATAACAAAAATACTTGATAAAATATTAGCAAATTGTGTTTAACAAAATAGCAAGAAGATTGTACATCATGACCAAATTGGTTTTATTCCAGAGGTACAAGGATGTTTGAATATTTACAAGTTAATAAATGTAATTCATTACATAAATAGAATCAAGGACGGAATCACTTGGTCATCTCAATAGATGCAACAAGACCTTTGACATAATTCAGCAACCAATCATGATGTAAAAACAAACAAAAAAATACCAAAGAAACTAGGAATAGAAGGAATATACCTCAACATCATAAAGGGTATATAAAAAAACCAAAGCCAACTTCATAGAAAATGGGGAAAAACTGAAAGCGTTTCCTTTAAAATCTGCAATAGTCTATTTAACATAGTGCTAAAAATTCTAACCAGGTCAGTGTGGCAAGATAAAGAAATAATGGGGATAAAAACAGAAAGGAAGAAGTCAAATTATCACTGTTTGCAGATTATATTTTTCTATACCTAGAAGACCAAAAAAAACTCCACAAAAGATTGCTAGAACTAATAAAGTTGACAATGTAGCAGATTACAAAATCAACATATGAAAATCAATAGTTCACAACAAATCTGCCAAAAAGTCAGTGAAACAGTTGTATTCAAAGTTGCATTTAAGGGCTGGGGTTGTGGCTCAGTGGTAGAGCGCTTGCCTGGCGCATAGGAGGCACTGGGTTCAATCCCCAGCTCCACATAAAAATAAAGGTATTGTGTCCATCTACAACTAAAATAAGTAAATAAATAAACTAAAAAAAAAAAAAAAATGCCTTTAAAAAAAAGAGAGAAAGAAGTTCCTAGGAATAAATCTAACCAAGGAGGTAAAAAGAACTCAACAATGGATACTATAGAATTCTGAAGAGAGAAGACACAGGATGGAAAGGCCTCCCATGTTCATGGATAGGCAGAATTAATATTGTTAAGACGGCCATGCCACCAAAAAGAATATACAGGTTTAGTGCAACCCCCATCAAAAATACCAGTGACATTCTTAACAGAACCAGGGGGGTGGGGGGAAGCCTAAAATTCATTTAGAAGAATGAAAGACCTTGAATAGCCAAAGCACTTTTACACTGAAAAAGCAGTGCTGGAGGCATCATAAAAACTTGAATTCAAATTACACTGCAGAGCTATAGTAACAAAGTCTACATAGTACTGACATAAAAATAGACACACAAACCAGTGGAACAGAATAGAAACCCATACATCTACAGTCATTTGATCCTTGACAAAGGTGCCAAAAACATACAATGGAGTGCAGCCCTCTATGTGTCCCCTGGTGAGGAGGCCCCAGACCATACCTGCACCCAGTCCTACTTCACATAGCAGGAAATGTGCGCTCCTTAGTCACCTGGGCTCTGCTCCAGAGCCTTCTCCCTGAGGAAGTGATTCCAGATGGTCGCACTGTCTCTGTTGCAGAGCCAGCCACCTTCTGTCCACCTGTTCATAGATGCCTGCTTGTTGTCAGTGCCCTCGTAGTGCAGGCATCTTGGGCAGGACTGTGCTTGCTCCTAGCTATGGAGCAGGAGGTCTGTTTCTCTGCCACACTCATCTGCCTCTGTGGCCCTGCACCCTCCTTTCAGCTGTCAGCACCTTGTGCCCATAGGAGAGTGGGTTAGGCAGTTCTGGACCATGCAGGACTGTGATCCCCAACACTGGAACTTACGTCTCACACCTCCTAGCAACCTCTGTTCTTCTTTCACACCACTACCGCCCGCTGCAGAGGGATATTTGCTGTTTCTGCTTGGTGCACGAGGGAGAAGCTCTGCAGCTCTGCCTCGCTCTTCAGGGCCATGTTGATGTCTGTGGTATGGAACCCCATGTGTGCCATTTCAGGTTCTTTAAAGTCTGACCCTGTCCACCTGTTCAGCATGGCCAGGACTAGCCTCATGTGGATATGGCCTGGTATATGATCGCAAGTGTGTGTCACATTCCCTACAGTGGGAATGGTGTCATTGGAAACTGCAATTCAAACTTAGTGAGAAGTTGCCAACACCTTCAAACAGGTGTGCCCCACCCCTGTACCAGTTGTGTACCAAAGAGCTTGTTTCTTCACTCGAAACTGTTGGGTTTCTGCTTCTGATGGGGAAAGTAGTATTTTATTATTTTAATGCAATCTTTCACTGTGAATGGTGCTAACATCTTTTGATACACCTACAGAATGTATCTCTAGTTCTGTTTTAAATACAGATTGGGTCATGGCTCCTCCAGAGCTTCCTCTTCCCTGCCCACTGAGACCACGAAACCAGTGTCCCCAGTGCCTAGCACAATGCAGTCTCACCAGTGGAAGCCTCCATCCCACCTGATCACGGACCAGGTGCATGGGACTTTGGGCATGGCCCATGTCCCCACCAGCCTCAGCTCTTAACTAGTACCCCATGCCCATCAGACTGATGGCAGTGCCCCTGTGTGAACACCCGAGCTGCAGGGCCAGGAAGGGGGACCAAGAGCCATGCCAGCAGGGCGGAAGACTGCAGCACAGACCACACATGCTGTGCTTAGCCCAGCACAGCTACCTGAGACCCACTTCCACCCACGAGGCTCGGGCAGCCAACCAGTCAGCTTGCCCAACAACACAGAGCAGAAACAGCCTTCAGATCCATGCATCTTAGATCTGGCACTCCCCATGGGGGCCTCCCCTGGCCCCACTCTCCCCGCACCACTGCTGCACTTTCCTAGTTTTACTTATTTCATGCAAGTTTGGGGGCCTTTAAGGAGGAGCGTCCTGTGGCAGAAAGGGACTCAAAGGTGTAGCACAGCCAGTGTGGAGTAGCTCAGACCCAGTGCAGCAGCCTCTCCCCTGTCCCCCGTGGGAGCAGTCCCACTGGAGTGTGATGGGAACCATGAGTATCCCCACAGAGCACAGAGAACACATGCTGCACTGTGACCTCCTGGTCCTCACAGCACCCAGGCGGGCACATGCTGGTCCTGCGTGAGATGAAGACGACCACAGTATGCATGGGAGTGGACTCCATGGTGCCTGAGGCCACCTGGGGACCACAAGTGACTGGGCTTCTCCTTTCCAGTGTGGAAACATGGCTCGGGAAGGGCTGCGAACACTTGTGGTGGCAAAGAAGGCATTGACGGAAGAACAGTACCAGGACTTTGAGGTGAGTGACTCATCACCTGCCCTTTGTGAACTCTCCTGCCCTGCAGGCCTCTGTCTGTACTCAGGTGCATCCTGACATTGTGCATGAGCACTCAGGAAACCAGTGTCCCCAGTGCCTGGCATAAGGCAGCCTCGCCAGTGGGAGCCTCCATCCCACCTCCCCTCAGTCTGGAGGTAGGGCAGGGGCATGTGCACAGCAACAAGGTTTGCACCTTCTGTCTCTCCCAGTGCTCAGGGGAACATAAGTGGTTCAGGCTTTGGAGTTGCTTGGACTTTGGAATATTTGCACAGACATGACCTGGTTTAGTGTCTCTAACCAAAAATTGCAGAATGCTTCAAGATCTGTTGTCTGTGCTCATTTTATATCCAACTTCAGAACATTGTAAATTGCAGATTTCTGGATGAGGGATGCTCAGCCTGTGTTGTGGATTTATTTAGTAAATAATTGCAGACCAGGCATGTGGACCATACACATGTCCCTTGTGTCCCAGAGCCGATACAGTCAAGCCAAGCTGAGCATCCATGACCGAGTACTGAAGGTGGCCGCAGTGGTAGAGAGCCTGGAGAGAGAGTTGGAGCTGCTGTGCCTCACCGGCGTAGAGGACCAGCTGCAGGCTGACGTGCGGCCCACGCTGGAGATGCTGCGCAACGCTGGAATCAAGGTGGTGCCTGCTGCCCTGGCTCCTGGGATTCCTCTGTTAAGCAAACTCTCTTTTCCTTTGGAGTATTGTTCTGTGGCACTCCTGGGGTGGTGGGTGGAAGAATGTGGGAAGCAAAGCTACACCTATCCCCCATCCTTCCTCAGCCTCACAGCCAGATATCCAGAAATATCTGCATTGTCCTGCCTTCAGACTTTGCTTCCCCTGGTTCTGTCCATCCACATAACATGTGCACTTCTGAAGACAGTCGTGAGGACCCACAGCCCCTGCCCAATGTCTACAGTCTGTGGTTTAGCCACAGGCTCTTCAAATCAAGTTTCCTCACTTGCCATCACCCTGCTGGTCAGAATCCTGTGTCACAGGACTGAGTGTAAACACTCTTCCTGAAATAATCGCAGTCTTGCCAAATCCAAGTTGCCCAAGCAGCTTCTGCCATAGGCAGCACATGTTGGGTGAGGAGAGGAGAAGGGCAGAACCCCAGCCTCACAGGGACGTTGGTTCTTACACGCAAGCCGTGCACATGCAGAATCCGGTGTGTCCCAGAGCTTCTGGCTAGGATATCCATCATTACAGAGGATGTCCAGGAGCCTCTGCTCTCTGTCTGCGTCCAAGCTGTCATGGAGTCAGAAAGCACACTCCTCGCACTCCTGCTCAGCTGCTGAGCTGCTGAGCTCAGCAACAGGGTTTCTTGCAGAGATGGTATGCGCATACAAAGCAAAGGCGGGAATATCTCCTCCCTCTGGCTCCTTGTTGGACGACATACTGGGTTCTTCTCTGGGTCTGCTGCTGACTCAGGCCTTGGGAGGGTGCCCTGGCCAACATAACCCCCAGCTCCTCGCTACTCTACAGCTGCAGGTTGGCAGCTGACATTTCTCTCATAATTGGTTTGTTGGGTTTGAGTTGAGGTTTGTGGTGCATTTTCCTTGGGAGTCATGTGGCCAACTGCCCTTTTCCCTGGCTGCTGACCTGCCATTTTTTCTTCTGACTGTTGAGGTCCTCAATGCCCGAGGGAACTAGCACTTTCTGGTGTAAGTTTTGTTTTTTAGGAAACTGCTTTCTTACCTCACATTTTCATTGAAGTTGAGAGTTCGGTGACAGGCTGGTTGAGAACATTTATTTTAATACTGTCCAAAGGATTTGGAACCTACTTTTGAGGATGGAAAAAGTACAACTAGCTAGAAAAACTCTAGCTAGACAGGAAAGGTGAACTGAAGGGAAGGTGGGAAGCAAAGCAGCAGTGCCTGGCCCACCTCCCTGCCCAACCCTTAGATTCTGGGGAACTTCTGTGGGAAGGCCAAGGAAATCTGGTGGCAGTGGGAAGCAGGCCCTGAGGCTGCATGGTGGGCAGAGCATTGTGCAGACAGGGAGTTCAGTTAGGGAGAGCAGTTGGGACTTGGTATTTAAAATCACCCAAGTCCAGTGACATGGTGCAGCCAGGACACTGGCAAAGGGTGTGATCAGTTAGACACATGTTGGTTTTAAATGCCTTCAGTCTATTTCTCAGTCACGCGTGCCAGATTGTCCATGTGTTACGGTAGTGAACGTTCACGATAGGAAGGTTTGGGCATTAGTACTCCATGATAACCTGTGGGAGGTTTTCCATCTAAAGCACCAGACCCTTTTTCTCTGTACAACGTGTCCAGCCTGACTCCAGATCAGCCTCTGAAGGGGGAAGGCGCATCTCACACTCAGTTCCTGGTGACAGATTGCTAAGCAGCGGTGATTTGTTCACTTGGCTCCATATCTTTGTTCCACTAAAGTGCATGAAGACATGTAAATGAGTAGAAAGCACAAGTCTTCAGGCAAGGAGAAGAGCCACAGTTGGATCACACTTAAACAAATAATTAATATTTCATGTTTTTTGTTTCCTGTTTCCAAAAATGTCTTTTGGTATGTTACATAAGAAATCTGAGAAATTCCAATGATGAGAATATTACAGGAAGTTTTTTGATGTTATATAAAATACTTTGATATATATTAAATGCCCAGATATTTTATTTTTTATCTGCAGATATATGTACATAATATGTGTATGTATATGCAGTTTTTTAAGTGGAAAAGTAGCATTGTTTGATGTGTTTTATTTGATGTAAATTACTTCTGGCTTAGCTGTGGGCCCTCTGCCTATTTGAGCTTCACCTTCCACCTGAAAAAATCAATAAGTTGAAATAAAATTCTTTATGATCTTGCTAGTGCTGTGTGCAACCTCGTCCACCCTGTTGGTTTGGTTGGAAGGCTATATAAAGTTACCTTTGGGCATCTATAGATATCCACTTTGACTCAGCCATGTGTGACTGACACAACCGAGTTGCTAGTCAACATGTCTCCACATCTCATGGCTGTCTGCACATCACTTTGCTCTTACTTGTTCTGCCTAAGCAAGTCAGGGTAGACACAGCAAAACCAGTTTTCAGTGCATGAAGAACCTCACAGCACTTTGTAGCCATCACCACCATCCATCTCCAGGACTTTCCTCTTCTTAAACTGTCCCCATTAAACCCCAGCTCCCCAGCCCCTAACCATACCATTCTGTTTTCTGTCTATAGATTGGATTTATCCGGGGACCTCATACAAGTGGAATCATACAGTGTTTGTCCTTTTGTACCTGGGTTATTTCCCTTGCCATAGTGTCCTCACATTCCACCTGTGTTGCTCCATGAGTCAGAACTTCCTCCTCGTTAAGGCTGAATGATATGTCATGGAATGGTAGACCACATCCTGGTTATGCATTCATCTGTTGGTGAACTCGGGTTGCTTCACCTTTGGGCTTTGTGGTAGTGCTATGAATGGGGCGGGAGGGGTGTACGAGCAACTGTTCAGGACAGACGCTTTTAAGACATAAAATATCGTTGCATTGTTGAAGTTCACCAGTTTAAATTGTTTCATAGATATGGATGCTAACAGGTGATAAACTGGAGACGGCTACTTGCATTGCCAAAAGTTCACATTTGGTGTCTAGAACACAAGATATTCATATTTTTAGACCTGTAAGTATGTTTCTGAATCACTTTGAAATTTTAAATGTTTTATCTCACACTTAAAATCTGTTATTTTTGTAAAAATGTATATGCAGTTATTAATTACTAAATATCTTTTTTTAAAATACTTTTTTAGTTGTAGATGAAAACACAGTATCTTTATTTTTATGTGGTGCTGAGGATGAACCCAGTGCCTCAAAATGGGAGGCAAGCACTTTACCACTGAGCTACAGCCCCAGCCACAATTACTAAATATCTTTTTAAAAAGAAATGCTGTCATTTTTTTCTTACTCAACTTATAAAAAACAAGTTAAAATAGTTTTTTAGTTACATTAAATGTAATAAAGAAGATGGCTTTTTGATAGTGACCAAGCTCTAAATTCAAAAGCATTTTTCTGTTATATTCTTAGCATTATTTATTGCTATTTTTAAATAGACATACCTCCAATACATAAAAATAAATATTTATTTTACAATACATTTTTGAATTAGTTACACATATTACATGTGGCTCAGAGGTAGCTCTTGTGAAACAAATTCTAAACACAATGTAGGAATATGTTTTTAAAATATTGCCATTTTCACATTAAATGTTCTTCCTTAATTGACTCAAAGAAAATTAATAGAAGTTATCTAAATTTATGTGTTTACTGTATGTATTAGTTATGACTAAATTTAATTCACACAAAAATAAAAGTTCTTCAGCCTTGATTGATGGTGAGTGAACAGACACTGTGGTCTGTAGCTGTCTGAATGCAGCTCTGACACCTACAGAAATGGCTGTTTGAGAGTCATTTGCATGTAAATGTATTTTGTTTTGAAGCATAGAATCACAAATTAGGCCCTGCAGACTACTATTTGCAATTAAATTATTAATGCTTCTGATAAAACTTTGGATCAATTTTTGTTGACTTTTCAGTGTTATAGCACCACAAATTAAATTTTTCACAATAACCTACCTATTTACAGATGAGTTTGAGATTAATTTGGATCATGAGAAGCTTAATTTATTTCACTCCTATAACATTTATTTTATTCCCTATAAAATCTCCACAGAAAGAATGTTGAAAATGCATACCTTAGTTTCTGACATCTTCTCACTCAAAAATTAATGATATTCCAAGATTATGAATTAATTTTACTCGTTTAGATTGCTTAATCCTTCAGACATCAAACAAAATGGGATAGATGGAAAACCAGGGCAGAGACAACGGGGGATTTTACAAAAGCCTCCCAGACTTCCTCCACATTGTGAAAAGAGACATCTTTAACACCAGGATCTCAGACAGTTGTGCCTCTCCCCTGGCATGTGGCCAAGGACCCTGTCTCCTCCAGCCAGGGCTCCAAACAGCAACAGTGTGGTGTCCCCACAAATATTACGATATAGTCAAAAATATTTTTTTATATAAAAAATCATTTTTGTAAACACTGTGGGCTTTCATGCAACTTTTGATAATAAATGTGATTTATTTTATTTAAAAAAACTGGCTGCGTTCCTGGTGCTAAATACCATCTCACCTGCACCCCACTCTGCCTCTCTCCTTGCTAAATCCTCACCTCACTTAGGGCACTAGAATGTGTCTCAGGTGAATTTACTCTCAGAACCGGCCTGACCTGAGCAGAAGGGAAGCCAGCCCCAGGTACCGCTCAGGTGTGTTTCTTGGGTGCGGTGCTTTCTCTGCTTTTATTTGCAGCAAATCGAAAAATGGTCTGTTAACAGTCAATGGAGAGTGCAGTAGAAATTTGAAGGGACCTTGTTTAGCAATTGAGGTTCTCGACACTGTCCAAAGGACCCTACCGTGATTTCTTGAAGCACATCCTATTGGTCTATTGCTCTAATTTTGAAGACTTTTTAACCTGTACTAATCTTTTCTCCTCTATGGAGGTGACCAGTCGAGGAGAGGCCCATTTGGAGCTGAATGCATTTAGAAGGAAGCACGATTGTGCACTGGTCATATCAGGGGACTCCCTGGAGGTAAGACCAGGCCCCAATACAGCGTGTGTCTGTCTGTCTGTCTCATGAGGCGAGGCTGGGTCCTAATACAGCAAGTGTCTCCTGAGGCAAGTTTGGACAATAATATAGAACGTATCTGTCTGTCTGTCCCTTATAGTTATCCAGGGCTTCTTGAGGGATGTGCTGTCAGGTGGCCCTGCCTCTCTGCTGTCTTATGCTTTCCTATCACCCATAAGGCACGTTCAACTGTACAGTCAGGGCTGAGCATGTCCTGGCCTGTACCCACTGTTGAAGGCTGGTGATTTCAGCTGACCCGGATCTCTGCCCCTTGGTAAGAGCTCCACCTCCTTGCAGCCTTGGTGTGGTTCCTGTCTTTATCTAAGCCAGTGATCCAGGCATGTGTGGGTCACCGGAGAGCTCCCAGTCAGGGGAAGCACTCTCTAGTCCCATCTGTCCTCCTCTTGACCCCAGGGTACTAGGAGTGCACAGGTCCTGGTAAGGACTGCAGGTAGCCACACAGGTGGAGTTGGCTTGACTGGACCCAGGCCCTGGCCTTGTTTGGCTGTGGGCCATTCCTGAGGTGGTAGTGTCACTCAGCATCTGGGTCTTGTCCTGGGCAGGGGGCGCTACATAGATGGGCGCCTCTCTCCACACTACTTCTGCATGGGGTGCTGTACTCGATGACCTCAGATTGCATGTGCTGCTTTCCCAGAACAACGTGCCCAGAGGTTGGCCCTGAGACCACAAGGCTTCTTACTGACCTCTGGCCACCAAGAGCACCGCTTCAGTTGCTCTCCTTGCTCAGGTTGCAGAGGTTGCATCTGGCCCCTGAGTAGACATGCCTCCTCAGGCCAGGGAAGTGGTCCTGTGCTATCCACAGTTGCGTCCTGATTTTATGTTCCCATCTCTGAGTCCAGGGGAAGACTCCACAGCTGGCTGAAGAGTTAGTGAGCCAGAGTCTGAAGTGCTTATTAGTCCAGTGGCGTCACCCTGCACCTCTCTATGCTAGCTGGAGCCATGGCCACTGTGCTTCCTCAGTTACCTGGTCACTCTGTCCCTTGGCTGTCACAGTCTGTCTCTTTACAACACCCTCTCTGATGGCCCTGTAGGTGCCGGGCCCTCTTCCCGGCAGGAAAGGGCAAAGGGCACTTTCCTATCTCTACCATGTTGGTTGGTGTCATTTGTACTTACTGTGTGTGTTCGAGTTTTGCAGGCATGTGGTGTGAATGACCAGACTGTCCTACCATGGCTCCCCCACTTCCCATCCTCCTCCTGTTCCTAACACATGCCAAAGACCCCTTTAGGCCCCATATTTTGTTATTTGTTGCCATGTCTCCAAATAACAGTGTTTGTAGAGCTATAAGTTTGGCTCATTTAAGTTTTTTATTGCATCTATCTAGTGCCTGCTATTCATTATCTGAGCTTCATTGTGTACAACTAAAAGAAATAAATATTTTTTTAAAATTATGCAAATGAGAACATCAAAGCAAAGGAAACGAAAACAGTCAAGTTGTGCAAGAATGAGCACCTTGCGGTCACCAGGTGTATCTGCAAATGTGGCTTTGGGCTTCTTTGTCCCCAAGAACAGAAGAGAAGATGGCAAGAGATTCCAGTGGCCACAATCCCTGTTCAGACAGGTAGCAGTGTGCTCTGGTGTGCAGCCAGTGGCTGGGGAGAAGGAAGCACTCTCTTCTCAGGGCTTTTGTTCCTGTGGTCGGAGGACCTGGAGTCTGAGACCTGTCCTTCGTGCGAGGAGAGCATTTCAAAGCTCCTGAGAGAGTGAGCAGGCTCAGTGCCCTCCAGGCAGTGCATCGAGACTCTGGTTTTCTTGACCAAGGGGATGCACTGGGAGCTGGTGGACTCCCCTGTTCCTTGGCAGGGGTCGTGAGCACCTGATATCCGAGGTCAGTCAGGTGTCTTCATCACCACAGTGCTGGGAAGGAGGGGCTGGAGTCATCTTGAGCAGCTTTCCCCAGAGTGGCCCCAGCACTGGCCCCAGTCACATCAGCCTGGAGACACCTTGTGCCTCATGGCCACCAGCTCTGGGCCTGACCACCCTCACCGTGCTTTGCCCTTCCTGGTGGCCCTCGTTGTCCAGCCGTGATGCACTGGTCTCCCCCAGCTCACCCCTCCTCTTCTCACAGGGCCGTGGGCCCACTGGCTGCCACACCCCCCAGCTCCCACAGGGTCAGCATGGGCACAGGTGAGACCCAGAAAGAGCCCTGGTTTTGCAGCCCTGCTGTGCTCCGTGCCTTTGCTCAGCTGCAGAAGCGCGCAGTGCACGGTGAGCGTGGCGCTCTGTCTTGCAGGTCTGTCTGAAGTACTATGAGCACGAGCTCGTGGAGCTGGCCTGCCAGTGCCCCGCCGTGGTGTGCTGCCGCTGCTCTCCAACCCAGAAGGCCCACATGGTGACTCTGCTGCGGCAGCACACGGGGAGGCGCACCTGTGCCGTCGGTGAGCCACCGGGCTTCCACGTGGCGGGGGAGGGCATAGCAGAAGGGCTGTTGGTGGGCGGGACGCCACCGCCCTCCTCAGCAGTGAGATTTAAGAGCAGCTGGCTTCTTGACGTCGCAGGCAAAAGCGTGTTTCATCCCTGCACTAGATCGATTGAATCCGTGTTACTGAAGATTCCTTAAACAATCCCAGCTGGTAACACAGAAACATGATGATGGACAGGTGCTCTATTCATTTAATACCCCACCTTCTTGTGCTTCTCAGGTGATGGAGGAAATGATGTGAGCATGATTCAGGCAGCAGATTGTGGCATTGGGATTGAGGGAAAGGTACGTCTGTCTCTTTGTTTTATGTATTTTTATCACATCCTCAGCACATGTACAGCCCACACCTGTGTTTAGCATGCATTGGGTCTGCACAGAACCAGTGCCTCCCGGGTCCACATGTATTTAAGGTCCTCGTTTGTCCAAGCCCTGAGCTGTGTACTTGAGTAAGACATAGGTAGGTCAGAGTCACGCCCTTCTGTTATTTACTCCATCACTGGATGCCTGTCTGAGATGCTTGTAAACCAAAGTGGGTTGGCAAGCCCTCAGCATCCCCCAGTTCTCGTGGCCTGCTGGGACTTATCCTCTAAGATACTTGTGCATGGGGCTTGGCTGGACTGTCCCCAGTACACCTTGGTTGGTCTCTTCAGTACCACAGCTGCTCTCCTCTGTTTATCTACCACTTCCTCTTCATGGGCATCCCTAATTCCTGGCCATGTGAACCATGGTTGTGGTTTGTCTTCCTGCCAGCCTTGACCACAGCTCTTATCGTGGCTTAAGTAGGAACATACCAGAAAGACCTGGAAAGTTCACCCAACTTGAGTTGGCTGTTTCCTTGACTGCTTTGTCTGAAGTGTTTTACAGCAAATTTTGTGAAGTAGGAGATAGTTTTTGCAGTCATGACAGAGCTGAGGTGTGGGGAAGGGCCTTGAATGGTGTGGTCCATACTGTCCCTTTGCCTTACTTCTGTGTGGCTGCTAGACTGCTAAAGCCATTTCTTCTGCAGCACTTGTGAGCACCTCCTCCTGATGCCCACAGGCAGGCACCTTTAGGCAGGCGGGCAGGCAGGTGCCCAGTACAGACCTGATACACCCACATCACCCGATGCCCGGGATGCCCTGTGGGGAGCCTCCAGGGCCATGCAGGAAGAGCTGCAGGTTTCCATCTGTCCGGGCCAAGCTCCCGAGCTCAGCTCAGAGTGTGCGTGCTCCCGCAGCACAGTGTTCTGCAGAGGCGCCTGTGTGTTTCTACTCCAGGAGGGGAAGCAGGCCTCGCTGGCAGCGGACTTTTCCATCACACAGTTCAGACACGTCGGCAGGCTGCTCATGGTGCACGGGCGGAACAGCTACAAGAGGTCCGCAGCTCTCGGCCAGTTCGTCATGCACAGGGGCCTCATTATCTCCACGATGCAGGTACTTAGGCCTTTTGTGTCCAGGGTGCCTGCAGAGGGTGACAGATAGCACTTAGAAGCGACTGTGACAGCATCACAGCTTCATTGGATGTCGTATTTTTAATTAGATGTGTTACTCACTCTGAGAAACCTGCATGCAAAATGATGTTCAGGTGACCAACAGCGGCTGTTTCTAACTTATGGTTTTCTGCCTTTAAGGCCGTGTTCTCTTCAGTCTTCTACTTTGCGTCTGTCCCCCTGTACCAGGGATTCCTCATGGTGGGGTAAGTGCAGTTCCTTGCTCATGGTACCCAACTCAACAGAAAAATGCGTGTTGAATACTGAATGATATTTTGGGCAGTTCTGCATCCTTTGTCATACAGTCAGCGTTTGGGATAAGCACCACTGATGTGAAGGCTGAGGCTGTGCTTGGGGAACTCCGGGCAGGACCTGCATACTTGTGCCTCTTGCGACTGCTGCTTCATTTTTCACACAGATTGTGTGTTCATGGGGAGGCTGTAATTTGTGTCAGGAAGTAGGATGGAGCTGAAATCTTATAAAAGAACCCCATGGCTTATGAGAGGGGCAGAACCAAGGGGTAAGCATTTGTGGAGGCTGTCATTCCCAGAATGGAGCCAGCTGGGCCAGCTGCAGGCCTCTCAAAGCCTGTCCCTGTCCTGGCAAGAAAGTGGGTCTTCATGTGGGGACTTGACAGTCACCAGTCAGGAACACACAGAACAGAAGGCACTGGGCTGTCTGCCTCCTGAAATTTGGGTGAGACATGACCTGTTCCAGAACAGGCACTAGAAGTCTGTCCCCAGCAGCAGTGAAACCTCACATCTGAAGATCCAGTGCACCAAAGCATGCTGCACACATGAGCTGGAGTAAAGCTAGGTGATCTTAGCCACCATATCTGTGAGACAGGAGTTTCCTCTAAAAGCAGTTAAACTGGGATCTCACCCCCTCACCCACTGTGGTCATGCACAGAGATGACATCAGCACGGATGTTAGTGTGTGGCCATGCCTCCGCTGCTCTCTGTGTCTGCAGAGATCACCGCCTACCCCAGAAAGGGCTGCCTCCTATGAGCAGAGCCTGGGAACTTGGTGACCACTTACATCCATCCCCATCCCACCCCATTGTCAAGAGGAGAAGGAGAGGCCTTGGCTCAGTGGCTTGCTCGTGGGAGGCATGGCCAGGCTAGGCCCATCAGCCAGCTTCCTGCACACTTGTACCAGCACCTCTCCCTGTGCTCAGCTTCCTTCCGGGCAGCAGAGGACACATGGGTGTCTGTAAGAGCATCGAAGTGCTGTGTTGTCTGGTCATTCCTTGAATCCCCAGACTCAGGGTAACCACAGTGCCCCACAGTGTGCAAATGAATGGCTAAGCAACCAGGGCCCCTTTACCACCAGGATGCCGGTGCAGCCATACCCAGGGTCACCTTCTGGGACCAAGCAAGTGGAGAACCCCAAAGGCTGCCTGCCGTCTGGTCTATTGTTCATGTGGTAGTCCACAAAAGAGGTAGGGATGATAGAGATGGAGAACAGGTTGTTTCTGGGCTGAAGGAAGAGGCAGGTGGGCGGCAGGGTTCTGTGTGGGGACGCTGTCTGCGTCAGCATCCCACCAGCAAGGCTGTTCTAAAGTGCGACAGAACACTGCCCTTGGGGGAGTTGGGTGAGGTACTAGGTACTTCGTGTTAACATGACAACTGCAGAGAAGTCTGACCTCAACCTGCAAATGTTTAATAAGAAATGTTTATCTTTAAATGGATTTCACTCCCAGTAAGCATTTATGGCCTACAGAACATGCTACTGATCAGAAATAATCTTACTGTGTTGCCAACTTCGATGTTTTATCTTGTTTTCATGGGATGTCTTGGGTATTTGAAACTTCAATCTACCTCTAATTTTAGTTGTGTTGCAGACATTTTTCAGGCTAACTAAATGTTCTTGGCCTCTAAGGTATGCAACTATCTACACCATGTTTCCAGTGTTCTCCTTGGTGTTGGACCAAGATGTAAAGCCAGAAATGGCGATTCTTTACCCAGAGCTGTACAAAGACCTCACCAAGGTATGGCCCTTTGCCCACAGACTGCACACACGTGCATTCTGAAGTCTTGTTGGTAGTCGTTGTCCTTGCAGATACTTCTTACTTCTCCTCTGCAGTTTTGACATTTTTCCTCTTGAGGTAAAGAGGGGAGGGGACCTCTCAAGTGTTGACCGTAGAGCTCCAATGGCACACATGTGTTTAACAGCCTTTGGAGCTTCTGTGAGCTCAACGGGCAGGCATCCTTGGAAACCGAGAAGAGCTTGTGCCTTGATTTCTGTGTGAAGGACCCTTACTACCTGTGCTTCACCCAGGCAGCATGGATGCCCTTTCCCAAAGAGGTGCTTCTTATTTATTCATTCCCAAAACTAGAAATCGATGGCATCATTGGCCAGGCATTTTCTATAATCCCCAGTCTCTAGTGTTGGTTCAGAATTCCATCTGAAAAGTGGCTGGCCGTGTTGTCTAAGTCCCTGAGATGTGTGCGCTGCTGTGCAGGGATGCTGTGAGGAGAAAGTCCACATGGCAGCTTTCCCTGACTGATGGCACAGAGATCTACTTCCTTGACAGTGTGCTCTGTTAGGAGTCAAATGTTCCTGAAGGCAGTTTTGAGTTTATCATGTTTGTATATGAAAGCATATTTTTATTTCATGGAAAATTTAAGGACACAGTAGAGGAAAATCTCAGCTCTCCAGATATAAATTCTGGTTGCTTTGAAATTTTCCACATTGAAAGCTTCTCTTGAACCACCACTGAGAACAAAACCCACCCAGCCCTCAGTCAAACTCAGAGTTGTTAGAGTTCTAGTATTGTGGAATAGGGAGGAAAGAATTCAGTGCTCAAGAAGCAAAATTCTGGTCCAGCTGACTGCTAACTAGCAGACTAGACTCTGGCCCGGCTGATCCTTATAGATGCTAGTCAGCTAATCACATTAACAGACCAAAATCTAATCTATTAATGACTAACAGAATTAACTATTTCAGCCAACCATGAAATGATGGATGACTAGTCCAGTTGACCACTAACAGGCTAGATTCTTGTCAAGTTAATCACTAATTAACTTTAGGCCACCTACCGCTAAGACCAGACTGTAGCCTTGCTAACTAGCTACCCAGAGTAGTGCTTGATGAGTCATGTTACATTTTGAATTTCTGAATTACATTTTTTTGTACTAATCTGATGGAAAAGGGGTTGTGAACTTTCTTGAAAACCTCTGTGTCTTTTATCAGGACAGATAGACCTACTTCAGCTGTGTGCACAAAACTAGGTATAAATGTCAAGCATTATTATCATGCTGATAATGTCGTGACCAGCAGGGAGATCCCCAAGCTGTGCACTCAGCAACTAGAGGACTTGTGGTTGATATGCTGAAATGACGAAGCCTTTGTGAGGGTACGGAGTGGGGCCAGTGGTCCAGAACCACAGGGAGCTTTGCAAAGAATCTGTTTCCATAGCTTATGCACAGCCCCATTTCCCGAGACTGGGAGTGTTTGTTCAGTGCTCGTTCATAGCTAGCAGGCAGAAATCGTCTCTTCCTCACAAGCAGAAGCCCAGAGTTTCTGGTTGTACACCTAGGCAGCTGGTACCCAGCAGAGTCAGGACCTCCACGTTAAGGAGGATGCTCATCCGCAGGTAACAACAGCAAGCACAAGCTACCAGGCATCACATGGCTGTGGCCGGCTCTGCAGACTCAGGTCCTATCCACTGTGGATATCTGAATTATCCAGGTACAAGAGCTGCAGGCAGGCACCAAGCATCTGCCAGACCGCTCTTGCCTTGGGCTCCAGCCACAGGGTCAGTGCTTGCTGTCATTAGATGACCCCACTTAACAGGGTGTTGCACACAGTCTGACTGAGCTGTATCTCAGCCAGCGTCTGAGTCTCCATCAGGCAGCCAGGAGTTCAGAACGCTTCAGTGTCCTACACACTGATCCTACATTTTTTTGACAAGAATTCCATCACTCATTTTCTCTTAAATTTCATTAAGATCTGAAAATCTGTATTCTTTTTATCTTTGTAGTCTCTGTTTCTTTAAAAATCTAGTACTCTTCAAACCCTTTGAATACAAAAGTGCTCAACCACAAGTTGGTAGAATTGAAGGTTTTTCCTTCCTGAAGCTAAAGAACTGTTTTTGAAGGTGGTTCTTCTGATCACTTGCCAATGCACCGGTACAGCTGTTCTTTTCACCTTCTCTAATAACCCTGGTAGCCAGAGGCTGGCCATGCTGAAGCAGGACACCAAGCAAGCATCCTGATGCAGCAGCATGGTACCAAGGCTGGGAAAACACAAGTGTAGCCCTGCTCTTGGCAAGCCTGCATAATAGCAGGAAAAGAGAATGTTGGTCCCTGGTAAATCACAGGACAGCAGTGTGGAGTAAGGCATGGACTGCAAATGATCATCCCCAGATAGCTGTCCAGCATGTGCCACACCACTCATCCAGAGGCACAGGAAATCTATGATTTCTTTTGGTGGGCACAGCCCTTGCACATCCAAGAGGAAGTACTGTACTCTTCAGTAAAATATCTTGGGTCTTTTGAATTTGATTACCATTCATTTCAGTCTAGAAGTATAAATGATGCAAGTATTACACATCTGCCTTACTGTTCTAATGAGGTCAGCCAGTCCTTATTCCTCTGTCTCTGTGGCCTAAATTACAACAGCTCTTTGGTGTCCATTACCAGGTGTGGTCATGGTAGTCAGCAAATGGATGAGGGAGTGAAGGAATCAACTTGTGCTTTTCTTATTCGTAAAACTGTATGGATGTATTTGCAGCAGCAGCACTGAGCGTCCTCTTCTGAGGCCCAGGACTCGCTCTGAATCACTCTGCTGTACTCATGCTGAGCTCAGTCAGTGAAACAGGAGACTGATGCACTCACACCTCATGACCCTGCAGTCACCTCCATAGAGCCCGATGCCTGTGACCTCCAAAGAAGCTAGTTAAATACACCTGTAATCCCAGCAACTCAGGAAGCTGAGGCAGGAGGCTCAAGGCCAGCCTGAGCAACTTTGTGAGGCTGTCTCAAAATATAAAAAGGGCTGGGGATGTGACTCAGCAGTAAAGCACCCCTGAGTTCAGTCGCCAATACCAAAAAATACACACACACACAAGCCAATAAGGCCAGGTGCAGTGGCCCACGCCTGTAATCCCAGCTGCTCAGGAGGCGGAGGCAGAAGGATCAAAAGTTCAGAATCAATCTCAGCAATGGCGAGGCACTAAGCAACTCAGTGAGACCCTGTCTCTAAAAATGCCCCTGAGTTCAATCCCTGGTACCCAGGGCGGGGCGGGGAAACAATGAGTCTCAAGTGCAAGGAGCAAGACCAGAGAAGAGACTATGCCCAGCAAAGCCAGCCAGGTCACTCTTCCTGTCACCTTGTCCCATTTGCAAAGACATCAAGTAGGTAATGGCATGCTGATCTTCACATAAGCCTGAGGTTCCCCTGGTCCAGCTACTAGAACCACTCCACTGTTTCTTCTTTTCTAGAGAATATTCACAGAATGATTTTTTTACGGGGTGGAGGATGCTGGGGATTGAATCTGGGAATGCTTTGCCACTGAGCTACATTCCTACACACCATTCTACATTCTTAGACCTTCCTTTTGATTTAATTTTTATTTTATATCTTTGAGAAGGGGCTCACTAAGTTGCTTAGGGCCTCTTAAATTGCTGAGGCTCACCTTACTTGCATCTTACTGCCTCAGCCTTCCGAGTCACTGGAATTACAGGTGTGTGCCACCATGCCCAACTCAAAATGCGTTTATCTTTTGAAATGTGTATTTGTGCTATTATATAATTTTTTTAAATAATGGTGAATAAGGCAAGAAACAGAAAGTAAAGACATGGAGATTAGAAAGTAGACAATAAAAATATTTGTAGATGCCAAAATTAACTAAGTACAAAATCCCAAAGAAAGAAAAAAAATTTAATAAGTCATTTCTAATTCTGTATACAACCAGTAAACAATGAGGTCAGAAGAAATGTAAGCACCATCTGCAGCATTTGCAGTAATACACAAATAGGCAGAGCACTCAGGGCAGCTCTGAGAGCACTTGCAGGCCCCGTGTTCTAGAACCGTGCAGCACCACAGGTAGGCAGTGGTGGCACGTGTATGAGTGGGGAGACTGCATGTTGCTGACTGTCAACAGGCACATTCTGCACTTCAGATGGAAAGGCAGGGAACTGGGTTTGGCAAAACAATTTAGGAAACACAGAGTTGGTAGACTACTACCTGCTTTCAAGGCTTGCTGTACTGCGGGCCATACGTGATTAATCAGTCAATAATGATGAGGGTGATGTCAAAATGGCACAGAAAGCAACCCCAAAGACCTCCCAGTGGCTGAAGTGGAACCCAGTCAGCAACAGAAGAGGTGACAGTCTCATTGTAACCAAAGAGTACAGTAAAAACCGCATCCAGGCTGATACACAAACAGCCCACCAAGGAGTGCATGATTGGCAGAGGATAGATGGAGGTCAGTAGGACAGAGGAGAGCCCAGAAACCCACCCATAGGCATTACGGGCCTTTGACAGGAAGTCAGGCAGAGGAGGAGTGATACCAACAAATGGTGTCAGGACAGCTGGCTACCCACATGCGACAAGAGCATCCCAAGTGCAGGGTCATTTACAGTGGACCATGGCCTAGATGCACATGGTAAGCCTTCTAGGAGAAAATACTCATGACCTTGGGACGGGCAGCACATTGTTAAATAAGACATAAGGCCAAAAGCAGGACTCATAAAGGGAAAACATGATAAAACAGACCTTTGCTCTGTGAGTGATAGAGCTAAGTATATGAAAAGACAGGACACAGACTGGGAGAAACACTTCAAGTCATACAATGGACAGAAGACTGTTCATGTATGTGAAGAACCCTTAAAATTCAACAAGAAAATATCCCAGTTTAAGAGTGAGCAAAAAATCTAAACTGACACCATTCCAGAGATGATGTACAGACGTCAAGTAAAAATAAACATGAGAAATGCTGAACGTCATTTTTCTTTCAGGGAGTTGCAAACTTAGGTGACAGTGAGATAGAACCACACACTTGTTAGAATGGCCAAAACACACAGCACTGCCAGTCTGGAAGCTGGGGGACGGACGTGACCCCGCAGGAAGACTCTGCTGGTGGGAATGCAGAGTGGGACAGCCACTGGAAACAGTTCGGCAGTTTCTTATAAAATTAAGCATAATGTGTATGTGACCTAGCAATCCTATTCTAACTATCTAACCAATAGAAGCAAAAACTTGTGCTCACTAAAATTCTGTCCACGATGTTTATGGCAGTTTTGTCATACTTGCCCAAAACTGGAAGCAGCCAGATGTCCTCAGGCCAGTGAGTGGATGAGCATTCCAGGGACTGTAAAAAGCAGGGAAGGTGCAGCCCTGCTGAGGTAGCATTGGAACAGCAGGAGTATAACCTTTGATTCTTCCCACACAGAAGAGTCTTAAATGCCTCTTACTGTGCAGAAGAGCCAGATGCCACATTGCTTGGATTCCTGTGCCTGAAACCTGGGAGATATACAACTGTAGTTCCCAGAGCAGATCAGTGGTAGAGGGGGGTTACCAGAAGGGGCTGCTGCATCTGGCACTGTGGTGTGCACACCTGCCTGTGCATGCCACAACCCCTGGGACCTTGCCTCAGAAGGGACCAGGCTGTGATAGATGTATCAGCACCCAATCACATAGAGTGGGTGGGAGGGCAGGAGCTGCCTGAGTGACCTGGGATCTGCTGAGAGGCCAGAGACAGCAGTACACAGCCTGTAGGATCCTGTGATACATGCACTTTCACAGGGAAATCCCCTGTGTCCTGGGTATAGAATAGGTACAAACAAGTAGCAGACCTGTAAGCCAGGCCAAGTAGGAGCACCATGATACCAGAAAGTAAGGAACTGCTCAAAAAATCAATAATGATGGGGATGATGCCAAAAGGGCATAGGAAGCAACCCCAAAGACCTCCCAGTGGCTGAAGTGGGACCCAGTCAGCAATAGAAGAGATGACAGTCTCATTACAACCAAAGAGTACAGTAAACAAACCGATCCAGGCTGATTCGCAGACAGAAGCCCCTTCCCCTCTGAAGAATTCCAGTGGTAAATGTGAAGGAGCAAAGGAACAGGGAGGCAAATCAAGGGCCCCCAGAGCCGCTGTCAGCGAGCACCCTTAGGGTAACTGAGCTTCGGAAAGAGACTGAAGAGAAACTGCTTTTGCCTCAGCTGAAGTTGGCTTCCCCAAGGTGCTCACTGTTACCAAGGCGCACACAGCAGTTCAGAGGCGGAGCCCCGGCAGCACAAGCCAGTAGCTCCTTGGTGGCTAGTGGATGCCCTGGTGTCCTGCTGGAGCCCTTTGTGGAGTCCCTTCCCAACTGCCTCATCCATCCTTCAGAGACATCCTGCAGGCCCAGATTTAGGGCTTCTACAGATCTGATTGGTGGTTTGAGAAGTGTCCAGGTCATCAAAGACCAAGGAGGAGTCAGGAACTGGCCAGGTAGCAGGACACAGGGTTCTGGAAAGCTGGTGACGTCCAGTCAATGCAGCCCTTGGAGAGTTTCTGGTGCGCGCGCGCGCATTTGTGTGCGCGCGCGCTCTCTCTCTCTCTCTCTCTCTCTCTCTCTCTCTCTCTCTCTCTCCCTCTCTCCAAAATATTTATTTTTTTAGTTGTAGTTGGACACAATACCTTTATTTCATTTATTTATTTTTGTGCCTTATTGAGGATCAAACCCAGTGTCTCTCACGTGTTAAGTGAGTGCTCTACCACCGAGCCACAACCCCAGCCCTTTGTCTCTCATTTTTAATTGCCTCTTTCATCTTTCTTCTCAAGACTCATCAAAAATTATTGTTATGTGAATATAACAACCAGGTTTTGTGTTGTAAATTGAGAAGACAGGGCTGGAGAACACAGTAGTGAGAAAAGTGGTAATGAACAAAGATACATGTTTCTGAGCATCTGGAACGTCCCTCTACGGGTCCCAACTTCAACCAAACAGGTAATACATCACCTGTGTGCATGGCAGTCTCTTCCACACAGACTCATGCAGCATGCACGTGTGGACATACATGTCGGTATGATCCACATGTCACATGCAGCTTGGCTCTCATCCACTCATGTGCTCATGGGCACATGTCAACATGGATGTCAGTGTGATCCACACATGTTACACACAGCTTGACTCTTTGTACTCTAATTTATTCAAAGTGGATTAATGTTTTCTTAAAATTCTTGATTTCATTTTTTGCATTTTTGGTGCATTTATAATTGAAACAAATCTTCTTAAGTCTATAATGTTTAATTGGCAATACAGCAGTAGCATTTACTGAATTTACTGTTTCTGGGTTTGTGTGTATCTCCTTTCATGGCGTAATTTATTTAATCAGCATGAGGTCCGTACTACTGTCATCTCTGTTTCACAGAAGAGGAAACTGAGGTATGTAGATTAGATTCAGAGCCCAGGGACATGGCAGAAAGGGTGTGCTCGCTGGGGCTGACTGCAGGTGACCTTTGTCCTCATCCCAGGTGCTCGCATGTGCACCTGTTGCGTAGACTGTGGTCCTGTGGAATCTGTGTGGCAGACATGTGAATCCATCCATCAGAGCAACAGACAGTTCTTTCCTCTCCAGGAAGAGCAGCTGTTTATAGGAAACGTGCTGCCTCTGTGTGTGTTCCTCCAACACATGCAGGGAGGTTTTGTCTCGCAAGCTACATGGACTGTGAGTGGGCTTCCACGTCAAGATCAAGGCTATCTCTGCCCATCCCTCTGAGTCTGCTCATTAGTCCATGACTTGCTCAGTCTGCTCGGATATAGAAGCTTCCGAAGAGGTGCCATTTGACATACTATTTGAAACAAGCATCTGTTGATGTTTGCAGCTAACAAGAGAAATAGTATACGCCCCTTTAACCTTCAACCTAAATTGGTATTTACCTCACATAAGTAATGTGAAAGCTTTTCAGCAAATCTGATTACAAGGAAAATATTTATTATATCAATAAATTATAATATATCTTTATTATATCAAGAAATTAAAGCCATGGGGCTAGAGTTGTAGCTCAGTGGTAGAGCACTTGCCTCTTAAATGTGAGGCACTGTGTTCGATTCCAAGCACCACATATAAATAAGCAAACTAAAAAAAAAGGTCCATCAACAACTAAAAAAAAAAAGAAATTAAAGCCAAGCACAGTGGCATATGCCTGAATCCCAGTGGCACTGCAGGAGGCTGAGGCAGGAGGATCACAAGTTCAAAGCCAGCCTCTGCAACTTAACAAGGCTCTAAGAAACTCAGTGAATGAGACCCTGTCTCTAAAAAAGATACAAATAAGGGCTGGAGATGTCGTCCAAGGTTAAGTGCCTCTAAGTTCAATCACTGGTACCAAAAAAAAAAAGAAAGAAAGAAAAGAAATTAAACTTTTAAATTATTCAAGTAAAATTTGCTACATGTGTAATTACAGATGGTTCCCATGACTGAAGACTAAATGTTGACTAGTGTCCAGTCAGAAAAATGCACTTAGGAAATATGTACTAAGAGAACCTGCTTAAAATATGTCAGTGTTTGTTTCTGCCTTTTAAAATCTTACCTTTTAATAATTCCATATGTCTGAATCTTGCTTCTTACACTCACATATGGAGGACTCGGCCTCAGTCAGCTGCTCCACAGGTGGGCACTCGTAGCCAAGGGAAGTGCTTGAATGGAGCTATCACTGTCCTTTACAGTAATAGAACTCGAGTCCACACACCTGCTCTTGGTGGGCTTCTGTGGGTCTACAGCTGGAGTTCTGCTCAGCACACGTATTTTCTCTTGGGCATATTCTTATTGCTAAATGTCCCAGCAGCCACCAGGAAGATAAGTGCCGGGGTCCAGATTCTGTCTGGTATGTGCATCCTTGCTGTGTCCTCTGGTATCCCCAGGGCCCCCATGACTGTCATCTGGCTATCCATTCGTCATAAGAAACTGTCCCCTCAGTAGGGAAGCCCCAAACCAAATACACAACTTTGGACTCTGATAAGTCATCACTGAGCACCAGTAACATACAGTGGGAGCTTGAGGAAGCCAGCAGGCTTCTGGGGTTTCTTCACCTGTGGAAGGTTCTGCCTGTCTTAAGTGAGATGCCACACTGCTGAGAACAGAAGCCACAGCGCCAGGTGATCTCTTCTGGGCCTGTCCCAACTCTCTGTAGTGCTGCAGGGCCTCCTGTGTCAAATCTCTATCACCAAAAGCCAGGGCTCTGGGTCCTTGGCTGGCTTTCCTCCTCAGATTGGAGAATCTCAAGGAGAGGGTGAAGTAGAACAACCAGGCCAGGCCCTGGTTTGTGATGCACCCCCAGTAACCTGCATGCAGTTCAGAGTGTGGAGCCAGCAGGAAGCCATTCTGTTTGTCAGCAGAGGCCTGACTTACCGCCAGCTCTTCCATTTAAGGCCCAATCAACTTTTACTTGAGTTGCCGTGGACTCTTCTAATTGAGGAGATCTTATATCTTGTACATTTTTTGTCTGAAGACACTAGAAAGTAAATACAAGAATATTTATTCCCAAGAAACAAAGAAGTAAAGGGAAGTTATTTTTATTACAAATATAATTTTGACCCCTAGTTCATTTAAAAGTTTGTCTACAGAGGGCTCTTTCTGGCTCACTAGGACCCAGGGACGCAGGGCTGTGGCCAGGAATCATGCAACCCTATGGACAAAGCAGGTCAATGCTCCCCAGACTCAGGCATTCAGTAGAGTGCTCCCTGGAAGACCCTGGGGACAGTGTGCACAGTGGGGCTGGGGGCCTGAGCCTTTGAGAAACCCCAGCCCTGATTCCTTGGGGACAGAAGAGTAAAGCATGCCGTTCTCTGTTGATAAATCTGCCCCCTGTTTTCCCTAGGGGAGATCCTTGTCCTTCAAGACCTTCCTCATCTGGGTTCTGATCAGCATTTACCAAGGTAAGACAGGCTCTGGTTTTACTGGACCAAAGATTTCTGTTGGTCTTCTCTTAGCAGTATTGTTTTCACCTGCAAGTTAAATTCCAACAGCTTAAGATTTCATCAGCAGTTAAATATTGCCTTCTGTTTATCTTGTAAATTGATAACTCCAGACATGTGGATCGGTATTTTTTAAATGATGCATGTCAGTTAAAAACTGACCTTTTTTAAAAATATGTATATTAGTTGTAGATGGACAGAATGTCTTTATTTTATTTGTTTATTTATATGTGGTGCTGAGGATTGAACCCAGTGCCTCATGCATGCTAAGTGAGCATTCTACCACTGAGCTACAACACCAGCCCCAAAAAACTGACATACTTTTAATCAAATGTTAATCCAGAAAAATTTAACAAGCACTCCTCCCATTATCCCTGCACAATGGCTTTCTTTGATATGTGATGATGACAAGGGCTCAGGAAAGCTGGCTTACACAGCCACATGCCTTAGCCGCTCTGTGGGTGCTCCAGGAAAGTGAGGGTGCTGCAAGTGTGGTTATCCCCCAGCACATAGATTACATGCGGCCTTCGGTGGAGGCGTCCTTCCTGCAGGTGTTGAGATGTCTGTGAGCCTCTCCCTGGCGCTGAGCTGGCTGATGCCACAGTCCAGAGTATGACCAGGCTGTCCATCTGTGTGGGGTGTGTGGGCAGCGTGCTCCCCAGCTGACCTGTGTGCTGTTTTCTAGGAGGTATTCTCATGTTCGGGGCCCTGGTGCTCTTCGAGGCTGAGTTTGTGCACGTGGTGGCCATCTCCTTCACAGCACTGGTCTTGACTGAGCTGCTCATGGTGGCTCTGACCATCAGGACATGGCACTGGCTGATGGTTGTGGCCGAGTTCCTCAGTCTGGGCTGCTATGTGGCCTCCCTCGCCTTTCTAAATGAATATTTTGGTAAGTTTTTGAACATTCTGTTATTGTTACCTCTCAGAACATGGCCTTAAATTGTAGATCACAATAAAACCCATATTAGACAATTTCACAACACAAAATTTATCTTTCTGCAAAGAAAAAATTTCTTGCATTCACCTGTAAAGTTAAGATTTCCATCATCTTGGCTTTAAAAGATGTTGAAGCATCCTCCTTGGCCACTTTATCACACCAGCTCATTTGTCCTCCCCAGAATCTAGGCCTCTTCCAGCTGGAGATTGTGAATGATGGAGACTATGTCAACGGTCAAACACTGGGTTACCCACCTCCAGATTGGTCAGTGGCTGGGAAGACCAAGCATGCTTCCCTCTTAAGGTGTTTAAAATCAGGGCAGAGAGCAAAGAATCATTTAGCATCAGGTCTGACTCGTTTCCCAGAGCCTGTCAAGGCCCTGTCTCCTGGGGCAAAGACAGGGGGTAAGACAGTAGCCACTGCCTCCACACTGTACATGAGAGCGTGACACCATGACTGCCTGCAGGTGGCAAGTTGACACTCTTCCTGGTCTGGGCAGAAAGTTCCAGGTCTGCACCCTAGGGAATGTCCCAGGCAGGTCAGCAGTCTATTTAATGTCCCCGGCACTGCAGGTGAGGATGTGAGCCTCTGCTGCTGGCGTGCTGATGTTTGCACCTTGACATAAAGTGTGGGGCCCTCAAAGCACCCGGAATTAAACCTGCAGTGAGTGAGTGCAGAAGCATGGTGTAGACTGCCACTCTGCTGCTTTGCTTTATGCAGTGGTGAGCATATAGGCAGGAAAAATATTAAAAGTTCATGCTTAAAATTTTTAGAAGTTACACAAAAATCCTGCCTATGGCACATAAGAAAGGGCTTCTTTCTAGTTAGAGTAGCTTAGCTGTTTGTCTTTGGAGAATAAATGTTCGCTGTATTTTTCTGTATGATCATGAACACACATAAATGGGAGCTATAGAGCCCCAAGTACATGCTTGGGCAGGACCTGTCCCCTCTGAACCTGCTTCTCTGAGCCAGGCCTGGAGAGTAGCAGCATGTCTAAGTGATATGAACAGGTGCACGGAGCCCCATCGTGCCCCAGGATGACAAGCCTTCAGGGGAGCTGCGTTCTGAGGTGGAGCCCACTTGGAGGTTTAGCTGCAGACCCAGTGGGGCATATCTGGGTGCTTGCTGTTAAGTTATAGGAAGTTAATCACACATCTCAGCTATATTTTCAAGTTGCATGGCAGTAGGTGATAAAATAACAGGGTTAAAGCCAGTCACAAATGCATTTCATACTGACATTTTTGTTGCTTTTTAATGTGTTTCTGTAATCAGTAGCTAACCACCTGAAACTGTCCTGCTGTCTGCTTTAATCGGTCCTTCATGATCTTTACTCCTGTTTTCTCTCGGAACAGGTATAGGCAGAGTATCTTTTGGAGCTTTCTTAGGTAGGTGAAGTTATGATTTCTTTCAAGAGTATAGAAATTTAGAAAAAAAAAATGTTGATGGAGATACTTATCTGATAACAAAAGTCTTCCCCTGACTTAGTCTTCCCCTGACTTAGTCTTCCCACTGACTCAGACACCACGTGAACCTGGGGGGTTGGGATTGCCTCTGGGTACTTGGTGTCTGAGTGGAAGGCCGGAGGCAAGGGGAGCCACTATGTGTCCCGCCCTAGAACTTTGGCCTTTCACATTTTTAGTAGCAAAGCTCCTGAAAAGCACTCCCAGGTGTCTCAAAATGTGGGTCAGGTTGCCTGTGGCCTTCTCTCTTTGGCTTCAGCCCATTGTATGGACAGCAGCTGTTTTCCCTACATTCTTTATTTTTATAAAAGCCCAACTCCTAGTAAGTAGATCTTTCTATCCTTTCTTTCTTTTTTTTTTTTTTTTGCAATCTAAAAGGCTTCTGCTGTGTGTAGAATGGAACTACAGATGTCAGGTTTTTCCACAAGTCTCTTCTCCTGCGGACTTAAAGCAGCCATCTTTACCCATGCAGTCTCGTTGGGGTGGTGAATAGGCTTGTTCGAGGTGACTGTGAGAGTGAGGATGCCTGGGACTGGTGGGCTGAGAAGCACTTGAGATTGGCGCATCTGAGCGTTCGTGTCGCAGGGACCTGCCAGCTGCCCCAGACCCTGTGTAGCTGGCTCTGCCTCAAGAAGAAGACTGGCCAGGGTAGCCAGACAGAGCAGAGGCCAGTTAACTGGCATCTTCCCCAGAGCCACGTGGCAGTGTGCAAATCCTGCCATAGGCTGCCTGAACCACTAGCCATATATGGTGGCCATGTGCAGCCCCTTCCTAGTGCTCGGCCCCCTGTTCCTTCTGTTGAGAGAAGAACTGTGTGTGCCAGACACAGGTAAATAGCATGCACGAAGACCCTTCAAGGCTGAGTTAGGCCTGCTGGGCGAGGGCGTAGTGCTGGAGTGGAGGCCTGGGGGGTGGCGGGGCAGGTCTGCAGCTGTGGCCTGGGCTGGGAGTCCTGGCAGCTTTCACACTCTGCCTCCTCCCCACAGATGTTGCCTTCATCACGACCGTGCCCTTCCTGTGGAAAGTGTCGGCCATCACTGTGGTCAGCTGCCTTCCACTCTACGTCCTCAAGTACTTGAAGCGCAAGCTCTCTCCTCCCAGCTACTCCAAGCTGAGCTCCTGAGCGGTCGGCAGCTGCCAGAGGCCTCCAGGCACCGTAGGCCTCTCAGCTGGCTCCTGTGGGAGGTGGGAGGTAGGGGGCTGGGGCCTGCCCTTTCCTCTTTGATGTCCACTGAGGCAGCACGGGGCTTCCACTGGAAAGGAGTCTTGTTCCTTCCCTGCTACTGTAAAGGATTTGCCCTTCTGAGAGCTGGCAGTGGTTTCTGCAGCTCCCCAGCACTCGGGTTCTTCTTTGATGTGGAATGTGAAAGCCACTCCCCTGCACAATAAAGTCTGCACACTGGGGAAGCTTGTCTGCCCTGCAGCCACCCTTGCCATCGCCCACGGCCATGATGAGCCTCCAGACTCCTGCAGGGCTCTCTGCTGGGCACTCACGTGGTTGTATGTTCTTGCATAGAGTGTGCTCCTCCCAGAAAAACCCAGGTGACAGATGGTGTGACATCTCTGATTGCAGTTACATTGCCACTGGGAATGGAGCCATTTGTCAAAGGCATTGCTGCTCCATAGTGTGTCCATACTCCATGTCCTCTCATGTCTGCAAAAATCACACTCAGAAAGAGGTTTTGCTGTGTAGCAGGTGTCCCTGGGGGACTTGTGATACACACACATGTGCTGGCGCTAGGGTGGAAGAGCCCCCCAGCCCAGGCTTCAGGAGGTGTCCACATGTCCACCAGCAGCTCCCTGGAGTGCCATGGCCCTGCTGCTGGTGTTCAGGTAGAAGAGCCTGTGGGCCAGGGCTTGGTCCTCGCAACTGCCCCAGCTCTGTGCCCTTCTCAGGGTGTTTCATGAGCCCTCCAGGGAGCTTGCTGGCGAGCACCTGGCCTCTTACAGGAAGGAGTCGATGGTTTTCTAGAACAGTCTGCAGTCCTCTGCACCAGGTGTCTTATGCACCACACTGTTCTTCACCTTGAGCACCCACTGAATGTAACCCCACCATCCTTGTGCAATGCCCACCCATTGAGGGCAGCACCGTGGGGGTGGCCCCCAACAAGCCCTGTGTCTGTGGTGCCACCTCCTCCTAGGCTTATGTCAGTGCTGCTTTTCAAAGGAGAGGCTCAGTGCCACAATAAAGTGTATTCCTTCCCATATATCGTCACATGTGCCTTTTGGATCACATGCCTGTGGCAGGTTATCTTTGGATGCCTGAGCATTCAGAATTCCCAGGTGGACCTGGGACCAGAGAATGCTGTTTCTCAAATCCCCCACAAGGTGTCACTGTTTTGCCAGTTTCTCCAGCAGCGTCCGGTCTGGGGCTGCCAGGCTGGAGGAGTGTGCTGAGCTGCAGGAGCCTGCAGACACCCACCGTCTTGGTGGATTGGGAGTTCATGCCCCTGCCCTTTCTTTCACACAATTTGAGTTAAGGGCATTGGGTTCACAGGAATGCCGCGGCCTGTGTGCTGACGTGGCATCACTCATGGATCTGGGTACAGAATACCAAGTTCAGATTAGACATTTCTTGCCTCTGCTGTTTTTAAAATAAAACAAACACCCACGTGGGAGGTTGACTAACAGTTGTAACAGTTGACTAACACTTGTAACAGAAAATCTAAATACTGTGAGCCTTTGGAATAGCATTTTTGCACATCTTTAAATAAAACATGAGGCTTTTGTGAGCCTTAGATACAGAGAGTAAGGAGAAATGGCCAAATATGAGTTTCTAGAAATCAGAATGTGTGAAGTCAAAGCCCTCTGTGAAGCGAGGAGAATCACTGCAAAATGCGGCTTCTGGGGCTAAATGAGGCCATTCACAGGAAGGAAGCAGCCGGCAGACACCTGGCACATGGTAAGCTGCTCAGAGGGAGTTTGTGATATTGGTTCTGATAGATGGGACAAAATAATTGCCTAATAAAGGGTCTCTGGATCTCGTCCAGCTCAGGTTTAGGAACCAGCTCAAGAGGGCAATGGTGCCCTCGGGCGGGTGAGGACTAGTTTGTGGAACAACCTCATTGTGTCCTGAGTTCTTCAGCTGCATCTGTCAGAGGTTCTCTAGCCGAGCCTCCTGCTTGTAAGATGCTGCCCAGCCCCCTCAAGGCCTCTGGAGGACCCCACTCTTGTCTTGGAGCACAGGAAGGCCATCTAGATGGTTCAGGGTTGACCTCAACCCTCCTCCATCAGAAGCTTCATAGGAGAGGAGATTGCTCTCAGCACAGGAGTCTCAAGTGCCCACTGTGTGTCAGGTGCATTTAGGGACATGGCAAATGTGGCCCTGCAGGGGAAAGCCGACATGGAGATGAGAGTTAAGGGACTGCCAGGACAGTCTAGAGGAGACTCCTCAGAGAGGTAGGGTTGATGCTGAGACCAGAGAAGAAAGTAGCCACTTGTGCAGAGACAGGGAAGAGACCTGTGTTCAATGCAGGTGGGGCAGGGCAGGTGGGGTAGAGTGCAGACAGGAAGGCCAAGTGGCAAGTAGGGTGACAGGAGAGGGGCCAGGGTGGAGTGGGCAGGCTGGTGGGTGGACTCTGCTGCTGCTCTCCACACGTCATCCTCCTTTAGGCTTGCGACCATCTTGCATTTTTATCCAGTGTTTCTAAATCAGAGGGCAACACCACGTTCCTAAAGCCTGTACCACCCCCCATGGAGCCAAAACAGGTCGAGTAAGGGGTCACATGCACCCTTCCTGTACCGGTAAGGGCCCTACGAAGAGCCTACAGTGGAAAGACACACTCACTGCTCCACCTCTAAGGCCTAGGGCACTGTCTTCATGGAGCAGCTGAGCAAGTCCAGATTCGCATCTGTGGGAAGATGGGGACAGTGTCGTGGGTGAAAAATCACTTTCCTAAATGCAGTGGATGCTTAGCCAAAGGCAGATTATCAGGCTGCATAAAAAGCAAAACTAACCACGTGCTGCGTACAGAGAGAAATGCCATAAATACGGAGGGAGACACAGTAAGAGCAGCAGGCTGGGGCAGGTGGAGCCTGCCGACAGGAGGCGCTCAGAGCCAGTGCCCGGCAACACCATTTCTGAGGACCCTCAAGCTGAAGGCGTCCCTGCAGGCAGCACACACTGGACAGGGTCTGCAGGGGAGTGGAGTGAGGAAAGCTGCGGCCGCAGAGTCAGTCTGCTGTGGGACACCAGTTGCTGTCCTGTGTGGCTGCATCCTCCATGCCCTGTGTCAGAAACAGCTGCACAGAAACCCCAGACCTTGCTGACTGAGGGACCCTGCGCCCAGCTACTGCAGTGCGCCCACCAAGGCAGCCAGGTACTGGGTCGACAGGCACCAGAGAACCGGGAATCACATGGCTCACTTACGGAGGGCTCGTGGGTCGAGGAAAACATGATGGGAGAAATTCTAACCAATTCCGACTTAATGAAAATGTCAAGATTTGAGAGTTTCTTAAAGGAAACTTACAGATCTAAATGCTTATGTCAAAAAATAGAAAGGTCCTAAGATCAACGTGTAGACTTCTACTTTGGGAAGCTAGAAAAAGGGTAACAGTGAGCCCAAAGCAAGTAGGAGGCAAGAAGCAAAAATAAATAAACAAAAGTGAGTATCAACAAAACGGAGCACAGATGAACAGCAGGAGTCTAGGAATCCAAGGCTAGCTTGGTGAAAACCCAACCTCTGCCAGATGGACGAAGACAAAGGTACTGATGTTCAAAGGTACAAAGGTTTCCATCACAGAAAGTCGCCCTGGAGGAGGAAAGGTCAGGTTTGCTCCAGGTTTCACAGTTGGCTGTTGCCTTTGGGCCTGTGGGGAGGCAGAACATCACGGCAGTCAGCACGAGGGGGAGCAAAGCTCTTCTCTTTGTGGCAGCTGTGAAGCCGAGGAGGGAGGAGTGGTCGGGGTCCCTGTGTCCTTCCTGTCCTGTCCCCAGTGACCTCCCTCACTGCCTTCCACTAGACCCCCTTCGGCAGATTCCACCTCTCCCCGTAATGCCACCTGCTGGAGACCCAGCCTTGGACACCTGCGCCTTTGGGGGACATTTAAGGTTCACCCAGAACGGTCAGTGTCTTGGGGGCCTTTGGGGTGGTGTGACTACAAGGGACAGCAGGAGGGGCTGTGTCTGGGTGCTGCAAGGGCAACAGCTCCTGCACCTGCAGGCTCCCACTCGCGACTTCACACGTGGGCCAGAGTAGGGACCCTCCCCGCAGCTCACATGTGTTTTGAAACTTGCTGTGAACCTGTATTCACAGAAGTTTTCAGAGTGCCGTGGCTGTCTGTGGGTTGAGGACCAGATGGGGAAAGGCCTGGCACCGAGAGCAGGCTAGGCCAGGGGCTGCGACTGCTCAGATCAAGCCCTCAGCTTCTTCTGGGAGGAGACCAGCTGACAGCAGTCTCTTCACCTTGAGGGTGGGTCTGTCCTGGGGCAAGCTGCCTGGAGTTGTGGCCTGTCCTCTGAACCCAGCGTGGTATCACAGTGAGTTTTGGTGGTACCATGCAGTCTGCACATGGCCCTCACTGTGGGCTGGGCTTGTGGCCAAGCCATCCCCCAGGCAGAAAGGCCCTGCACCTAGCCTCCATATGGTTAAGGACAAAGGGTCTCCCCAGGGTCCCCAAGGGTAAAGGAGGTACCACTGGGATAGCTTGGGTGTTGGGGTACCCACGTGGCCTGCAACCCAGGGGACAGCAGCACAGAAACTGGACCTGGCTCTCTTGTTTCCACAGCTCCTGGGTCTTAGTGACAGTTGAGGCACAGGGATGACAGAGACCTGAGGATGGGGACCGAGAGTACAGCTTATAGAGGACAAGAAGTCTGTACTGTGCTGTGCTGCCTCTAGGGCTCAGCTGGGAGTCAGCTTTTGGTAGCCTGCGCATACACTGAGAGACCACTCCTAGTGCCCTGGCAAGGCAGGACCTGCTCTCCCTGTCGCCTGTCAGGTCTTGTGCCCGACTGGCCCAGCTGCCACCACTGGCTAAGATCTGCTGCCCCTCACTCACCTGGAAAATCACTTCTCACTATCCAACCTTCCTGAGGTTTTAGGCACGTTGGCCACCAGGGACCATGCAAGCCACATTGTAAGGTGGCATGCCAGAAAAGTCACCTTGTGTTCCTGGGGCCACCCTGAGAAAGAAGAAGGGTTTCCCTACCATCCCTGCAGCCCTGCCCTGAATTTAGAGTCTGCTGGAGCCTGCCTCTCCTCAGAGCACCCTTGGACATCCTTAAGGGTGGGACTGGCCTTTTCAACCTTCCTGCCTCTTCTAGAGGACAGTGTGGTGCCCTGGATACGCTCAGAGGCACTGGATCAGTGGCAGTGGGGAAACTGAGGCATGGAGAAGATTCCCCAGAGCAAGGAAACAGCCAACCTGGATTCCAGGACACTCTGTGTTTGGCTGTGTGGACCTGGCTGAGCCCATCACCCTGTTTCCCAAGTCATGAGGTTATGTCCCTGCAGGTCACCCAGCTCCCTCTGCACAGGTCTCCAGTCACTTGGAAAAGACCTGATGCTCCAAGAGCCCCACAAGAGACAGCCACTTAGTTCCCCTGGCAGGGACCAGCCCAGCCACCACCACCAAACGCCCTAGACAGCAGGGCTCTCACCCAGCCTCTCTTCTCCTTTGAGCAGAAACTAGCCTGTGTCTCTGTGAAAACTGCTCGTTTGGGGAAAAGTTCAGGCTTTCAGAAATATATTGAGACCCCCATATTCCCCTCAGCTCCTGCAAACAGGGGGACCTTGTCCAGTGCAGCAGACCTCCTTAGGCCTGCTGTCCACTCAGCCCTGTGGCCAAGCCCCATCTGGGAGGTTCCTGTGGGCACTGCCTTGAGGACAGGACTGGAAGGGCCGTTGGAGGAAAGGTACCTAGTTCTAGCTTCTGGGCGGGCACATGACACACACAGACTTGTGTCCTTGTCGGGCCGTGTCCATAACCCAGATTTGGAGCTACCTTGAGGCTGAACAAATTCCCTCTTTCCAATCCATTGTGCCCAATTTTAGCGTCCACTAGTGTCCCTGGGGTCCTCTGCAGTCCACCTTTGTACTGAGCACAGGTGTGATTCCCAACATCTCCAGGAGGGGGTGCTAGAAGACAAGAAACAGGTCCACCAGGCAGCCCTAGAGAGGTGGCACAGGCTCCACCAAGGGAGTCCTGGATGCAGGGTTCCTGGGCAGGGTTTGCTCTGGCTGAGAACATACCTACCCACAGGCACTAGTGTACACAGTGCCGCTGTTTTGCCTGAATGGGGAGCCTGATCCCCTCATCAGTAGAGCCCCCAGTGTCCAGGGTGCTGGTGCCCGGTGTGTCCAGAGAGCACAGTGGCTGCAGCCTGGATAGATGGGCTTGGGCAGGCTGCAGGGGCTGCACCAAACTCAAACTTGGCCACAAGGTCCTGTGTGCCTCTGGGGTTGGTGGCCCAGGAGACACTGGCAAAGGCCAAGGGGCCCCAGAAAGATGTGTTTGTATTCATTTTGCAGGATCATGAACGCAGTAGTAATAACAGACCTTTCCAGACCTTGTCATCGTGACTTTAGATCTGGAAGGAAAATGGAAGTCCTCCTGTCCCATTTACAGTGTTTCCAAGAACTCTTGTACTTTCAGCTCCTTCCCCACCCCTGGACCCCGAGGGCACTGGTGGCCAGCACAACTGGTGAGCTGCAGTTCCTGCACTGGCCTGGATGCAGAGACCTCCTGTGCAGATCTAGAAATGCGAGTTCAGCATCAGGATCCCAAGTTCTTGTAAAAGTCATACCCTGAGGGAGGTGGACTCAGTCTCATGCAGGAGCTGCATCTTGCTTGCTTCTCTTTTGCTAATAAAGAAAGTGAGGCTATAAAATCAAGTGTAGATCAAAGTCAGAAGTCTGGGTTTTTATGTGAAATTGGAGTGTAGAGGTGTTGACTCTTGCTGTGTTTGTAGTCTGGGAAGCCCAGGAGCCCTCTTGGCTCACAGAAGCACTGTCCACCTGTCCAGAGCATTCTGCACGGCTGTGACTCAGGTTTTCCTGGTGAGCGTGGTCTGTGTTTGCAGACATGCCACATGAGCAGGGCTCTGTGAGCACGTGCAAGCCTCTCTTGCAAGAGCGTCCAGGGACTCAGACTCAGGAAGGGGATGCCATGATCCTCACTGATTTTCCCAATCCAGAGGTGACACTGGCAGCCTCCCACAAGGTCACCTAGCCAATCAAAACTAGCTTTGGGGTCATCCAGCTGATCAAGGTTCTCACAGGGTGGGGACTTTCAGTGTCAGCCCACAAGCCCCTGGAAGTGGGAGGCCAAACACCCCAAGGAGGAAAATGTCAGCAAGTCCTGAGGGGCTTGACCAGGCCCTGCCCTCCTTGCTGCTCTGCTTGGGCTCTGCCTGTAGGTCAGAGTGGAATCGGGTCACAGTGGGCGAGGACCATTTCCTCTCAGTTGTGCAGCTGCCTCCCACCTCCCTTGAGGATGCTGTCGGTTGTCCGCATTTCTTCCTCTGAGGAGTGCTTCTGTAGTCCCCAGAGTTGTGGACCGTGTTCTGCATGCAGGTCCTCGAGAGGAAGCACAGCCAGTGGCTGTGGGAGTCGGTGTCACACACACAGCAGGTCCCACAGCACCAAGAGCTCCAGCTCCAGGTTCCACAGCGGGTACTGGCACCCACCATGGGGCACTCCGTGGGTGGGTGCAGGCTGCGGGGCTTTCGGCCCACATTGTTCTGCTGTGGACCCTGGGCGCCTGCACAGGGCTGAGTGGATGCCCCATCAAGGTGTGCGGGGGGCCTGTGGACCAAACTTCCTGCCACCCCAGCTGACGGTGTCCTGATGTGTGTGGAGAGCACAGTGGCTACAGCCTGGACACGTGGGCTTGGGCAGGCTGCAGGCTTGTCCTTGGCTGGCTGTGTCCTTCAGGTGGGAGCCTGCAGGCGGGTTTCTACAGGTGGGGTGCTCCAAGTAGGCCACCCAGGCGGATGTGAGTGAGTCTGTGACCGGAAACAGACTTTAGGGGACAGGAGTGGGAGGGATAGTGCCTTCTCAGGGGCTCTGGCATCTGTCTCCACCCCACCCCTGGGACCCCTGGGAGTTCTCGCTGTGTCCACCCCACCCCTGGGACCCCGGCAGTTCTCGCTGTGTCCACCCCGGTTCACCCTCACGAGGGTGGGGCTCTACCCTGGGCCTCCTTGGTCACCCGTCCATCAGTCTGTGGGAAAGAAGGAGGAGCACAGGCACTGAGAGGATGCAGGCTGGGCTGCGTGAGAGCCCTAGCCTGGGCTAGCTTCCTCTGCCCTTCCAAGGGCTGTCTGTACTTGGTGGCTCTAAGGCCTAGGCACAGAGATGCCACGTGGGGACAAATGGAGTGTCAGACACAAGCCAAAGAGGACAGGAGGAAGACACCAGGGAAATGGGCACAGAGTGACTGAAGAGGGGGCCTCCAGCTAGGAGCTGTAGCTCCGGGAAATCTCACAGTGCTCTGAAACTCAGACTTAATGGGCTGGCACCACGGGGAGCCAGGAGATGTGGGAAGAGGTGTGGTGGAATTGGGGGATGCAAGATATCTGAGTGGGGGCAAAGGACCCTGAAGTGCCAGAACCCAGGCATGGCCAGTGTCAAGATGCCCCTGCTGCCCCTGCCCCTAGGCTGACTCTCACCCCTCACCAAAGTGACTGCTGTCACTCCTCTCAGGTCCACCTCGGTTTCCTTCAAGGACCAGGCATCTACTTCTGCCCCTTCTAGGCCCTTCCAGTCCCCAACCCCCATCACGGACCACACAGGGGCTCCAGGACACCCCTCACCCCTCAGATACCCAGCCTAAATATCCTTGGCTCGGGGACCATGGACTCCCAGGCCAGGCTATCTCCTGCACGCTCCCTCCAGAGCCTGCAGCTCAGGGAGTCCACACAGGAAGAGCACAAGGGCCACAACCATGAGGGGAAGGTGATATGTCCTCAGTGGAACTGTGACTGTGAGTAGCCATGTCCTCTAGGCCCAGTGGTCACTGAGCTCAGCACCCCAGCACCAGCAATAGTGGCCGCCAAGACCTTCTCCTGTCCCACCAACAGGTGATCTGCTGGGCCTGACCTGCTGCAAGTGTGGAAAGACACATTACTTGTCCTCCAGCCTCTTGGGACACTTGAAGGTTAGGGCTCAATAAGGTGAATGAGAACTGAAATCCCAGGTCCACAGGAAGTAGATAGGGCACTGGGCATCAGTGGTCTACATGGGAGAGGGACAGAGACAGGGAGACAGTCAACTACAGAGACACGAGGGCTATTGGCCAGCTGGATGGTTTCTCTCTCCCTTGGCACCTGGGTCAGTGGTGGAGGAACCCCACCGGGGTCACCTGTAGGCAGCAGAGGCTTCTCCCAGAGCCTGGTAGAAACTGCCTCTGCCTGCAATGGAGCTCCAGGCGGAAGCCCAGCAGGAGCCCCTCCCGCACAGCAGAACTGGGAGCCCAAGGGCCCAAGGACTTGCACCCAAGTTCTCAGTGGCATCGTTCAGATAAAGTGAGTGGAGATGGCCATTTCTCCACATCAGGTGAATGGACAGCTGGGCATGCTGGGCACACCTGTGGTTCCAGCTGTTCAGGAGGCAGGGTCAAGTGAGCCCAGGAGGTCAAGGCCAGCCTGGGCCACATAGCAAGACCCTGTCTCAAAATACATAAGAAGGAAAAACAGGAAAACAGATGGATGAACAAAACAGGGTGCCGGCCCACTGGACTGTCACTGCGCCTCAGGAGGGAAATCGGACACACAGGTACAGCACGTGAGAACCCTGGGGACTCTGCAGATGGATAAGTGCTGCACAGCTCACTCCCAGGAGGTCCAAGAGACAGCAAAGCGGAGCAGAGCTGGGGCAGCGCAGCCGTCGGTGCACAGAGGGGGCAGTTTCAGTTTGGGAAGATGAGAGAGTCCTGGAAACAGATATGGTGATGGCTGCACAGAAGTGTGAGTGCACCTGGTGCATCATGCACTTAGGAAATGGCTAAAATGACACATTGTATGCTAGGGACATCTTACCAGAACTTTAGAAAAGAAAACCCTTTTTAAAAAGGGGCTGTTTGAGTAGGGGAGGAGAGCAGGTGGAGGCCAGGGGTAGGCTCTGCCTCTGCCTGAGCCCAGGCGGGGCTGCAGGGCAGCCCTGGGCTTGCTGGGTCTGGGATGGACGCATCGCTGTGGAGAGGTTTATGTTCATCTACACTTTGGCCAGATGCCACTTCCTGTTTCTAAGAAGAAAGAAAGTCCTGAGCGGGATTATAAAAAGCTCCCCATCTTCCTGGACATCAAACAGCCCCAACACAGCATCTTGATGGGTTCAGTGTAAATGAATCAGAAACACATGGATTAAATTTCCCTTGAAATTCACTCCAGTTTAAAAATTAATGGAAAAAGTGCCTGGCAAAACTTGTTTAGAGCTTTATTGAACCAAAACACTTTAAAAATAGTTTGGGAAGTTGGGCAAACCCAAGTTGTGGCTGGGCCCTTCACCAGGACAGATTCTGCCGTGTCTCGCCAGGCTGGGGGTGCTCCTGGGGCAGCCAGTGCCCCACGAATGGCACATGGCTCTCCAGCAGAGAAAATCCCATGGCACGCATGAAAAATGAAGTCGTTTGGTATCTGAAAGGAAAAAAAAAAAATGGAAAGAACAGCCTCATTACCTAAGGCTGGGGGCAGAAATGGCTTACTTTGGGTTGTTACTTAATTAAGAGATTTAGGTAAACAGTGTTTTAAAGAAAGTTACAATGTTGCCATCAGAAAACTCTTTGCTACTCCTTCTATTATTTTGGTTATGGAAAACAGTTGCAAGTTAGCAGGGACTGGGACATGTCTGAAATCCTGCTGGGCTGTTGTAAGGAGCATCCTGCAGGCCAGGAAGTGACCCGGGAGCCTAGTGCTCCAGGCACATTATAGATGGTGTTTGGTAACTGCCAGTTCTTGTTTGGGCAGCACTGTGCAGAGAAGACGAGGCTGTCCCCAAGAGCAGAGGTCTTTGGCCTTGGCCTTTGTGTGGATTCCTAAGTCCTAAGTAAACCTGGGCACAAGGGCAGAGCTCTGTGGCTGGGACGGCAGGGCCGCAGGGCCTGGGGGCTGGGTCTCAGACGGCTCCGTTTGCACCCTGGTGTGGAAGCTCTCTGTCGTAACCCCATTAGCCAGCCCATGCATGCCCCAAGAGTGTCAGCTTAGCCTATCTGTGTTTCCTGTGAGAAATCAAAGTAAAATAGGACCGTTTCCTGCTCTGCATGTCATGGGGCCCAGGGGAACACAACTGGACCCGAGGTCTGTCTTTCTGCCCACCTTTCTCCTCATAACTGGTCAGAGAGCCGCTCACTCCTTGGGCCTGTAGAGCTGCCCTCTCCCCACCCTTGGGGGGAATTCGTTCTACACCAGGTGAACGGCTCAGAGGCACCTCCCAGCCTTGCTGGGTTCTGCCCTGGTGCTGCTCTCTTTCTCAGCCTCCACATCAGACAGCTTCCCTAGGACAGGCCCGGGAGCCTCAGGTCCTGTCCCCAAGACCTCCTGGGCAGGAGCTTCAGGAAAACACCAGGCCCGAGTGCCTGGTCTCAGTCGGGCACCACCCCAGGCTGCAGTAGGCAGTGGGGCAGTCCTCTGACTCCATTTGGAGTTTGAGCCAGGCAAACAGGGGTCCTTGAGCAAAGGTCATCTCTGACAATGCGCTGCTGTGCCGAGAAGGAGTGACCTGGATTTGTGTCCATACAGGGGTCTGACACAGAAGGGCATGTCCCCCGTGGTCCTTGTAGCTGGAACTCTGAAGGAGCACTAAGTAGGATGTGTCCAGGCCCCATGAGGAAGGCATGTAGGAAAGGACAGAGTACCCTGTGATGCGTCATGGAGTGGTGATCTATTTTTCATAACTGTCATGAAATACCTGAGGAAAGCTAACTTTAAAAAGGAAAGAAGTTTGTTTTGCTCATGGTTCTGGAGGTTCAAGGTGGAGGGGCCTCATCTAGTGCCTTCTTGCTGTTCAGAGGCCCAAGTTGGCATAGGGCATCACAAGGCTGAGACTGATCCTCTGCTCCCAGAGCCACCAGAGCCTGGGCTGAGGGCCTCATCCCATCCCAGCCCTCCCAATGGCCACCTATACACCAGGTGGAGGACGCAGTTCCTCCCTCAAGTACCTGTGGGGGATGCTCAGACCACGTCCATGCTGTAGTGCATGGTAACTGGGAAGGGAATGAAGCCAGTCCATGTGTGGGAATTCCACAGTGGGTGGCTTAAGCCAAAAGAAAGTCACCATCTTATAGATCTGGAGGTCAGGAGTTCAAAACCAGGGGCCAGCAGGGCCACTCGCCCTGAGGGTCCTGTAGAGGAGTGTCTTCCTGCCTCTCCAGCTCTTGGCTCTCTTGGTGGCCCTTGCCCGACAGGACATAGCTCCAGGGTGCCTCTGTCCGCACAGGGCATCGCCTTTGTGCCCCTGCCTCTCCCCTTATAAGGACACCTGTCATTTGGGGGACCCAGTGACCTCCCTTAACTACCACACCTGCAAGACCCTACTTGCAGACAAGGCCATGTCGCAGGTGACGCGGCCAGGCCCTCAGTGTGTTTCCAGAGGACAGGGTTCCACACACGGCTTGGCTCTGAGGCAGCTGTCGGTGAGCACCACACCACCCAGCCTCACAGCAGCCCGAGGGGAGGGCGGTCCCTGGTGCCTGTTGGTGTAGGAGACTGAATCCAACACAGCTGCAGGGGACCAGCCCATGAAGGAGAACTGGTGGAGTCGCTTAAAAACACAAGCCCCCATAGCCTCTGGAAATGGACCCAGATGCAAGCAGTAAACAAAGACACTGCTGCTGAGAACCCACGAGCCTGTGACATCGGAACCACATCATGTCCCAGCCCAGTGAGTGCAGACTCCACTCCCTTGGTCAGCCATGGGCAGACACAACAGTCCCCTGCACAGCTCCCCCGCGAGGGGCCCCTCCTGTCCCTCTGCTCTGGTCTCCCAGTCTCCACCCCAAGGCAGCCTGGGCCGAGGGTGTGGGGCACTGAGAAGATGGTCTGATGGCTGGCCCAGCTCAGGAGGCAACGTCTCCAGGTCGGGGAAGGCAAGCCGAGAGGGTCTCAGGAGGCTGCTCCCACAGTGCTCAGGGGTGTAGGGCTGTCAGCCCGACTGAAGCATCGGTTTAAACACAGCAGAAATGCCAGCGCGAATGACCAGATGCTGCATTTATAAGAAAAGACTTAAACCATCCACAGAAAACACATGCAGCTCTAAAGTGAGGCCTCACTGACAAGTGAAAAAGTGTGCTGATGGTATCACACTAAAGACCATCAGGAAAGAGATGAAAACACACAAAAGAACCAAGTGGACCTGGAGTTGAAAGGAGGGAAGGGTTATAAGTCAGCGAGGGCCTTTCCGGGAGGAGTCGGCCCCGGAGGAAGAAGGAGTCAACCTGAAGCATGTCTCCAGAGATCTCGAAAATCCAAGAGCACCTCGGAGAAGTGAGGTGTGCTCCCGGGCCTGCCTGCCTGCCCATCGTGACCGCACCAGACAGAAAGAGAGTAGAGAAGGAGAAGAAATGCTGGAGGCAGCAATGGCTGAAAATGACACAAACACGTTGAAAAACAACCTACCTGTCCAGGAAGCTCGGTGATCCCCAGGTAAACTCAGACCCACAACCAACACATAGTAAAAACGCTGAAGGTCAAGGACAAGGAGAAAAGTCTCAAAAGCAGAGAAGAGAAAATGGCTTGTCGCTCCCAAGAGAACTCAAATAAGGCTAACATCTGACTTCTAAGCAGAAACTACTGAGGTTAGAAGCCACGGAGATAACATACCAAAGTGCTCCAAGAAAAAAATATGTGCACCAAGAATCCTACCCTCGAGCTTTCTTCCTGAAGCTAAGGTGAAGTAAAGAGTATCCAGAGAAACAAAAACTGAGAATCTGTTGCTAGCAGACCCACCTTGCAAAAAATCCAAGAAGTTCTAGAGGCTAGGCCAGGAACGCCTGTTTGGTGATCTAAACCACAGGAAGCAGGGCCACTAAAGGCAATTGTGTGATTTTGTAAAATGGCTTAAGTGCATATTTTCTCTTTTCTCCTCAAAACTCACTTAAAAAGCAATTGTATAAAATGTGTATAGAACGTAGTGTGGGCCTGTCACTTACAAAAACCTAGTAGATGTGTAATACATTTTCCAATAACACCACCAGGGAGGTGGGAGGCACACACAGCACCTGGACAAAGGGGACTGCTGCAGACGGTGAAATGATAATGGCCGCAGGCATTGTTGGGCTGGTGACACTGTGCTCATGATGCTGAGGAACAGAGCTCTGTAAGGGGGACAAGGAAGTAGAGCCCCATAGAAATACTGTTCCTTTACGTCACTGGAACTGAGCTCGTGCAAATGAATCTAAGGCTGATGGTAGAGCTAAGTACATATGGTCAACACAAGAGCAACCACTGAAGAGATGGTGAAAACATATGGAAAAAATAAATAAAAAGCTACATTGTGAAACATTCACTTAATGCAAAGAAAGCAATAAGGAGGACTGGAGGGGAAAGATGTGAAGACACTAGGAAACAAAAAGAGAATCCAGCTGTACAACGTGAGATCCAGGCCAGGCCAGCAGCTGTGAGACTGGGTTAGAACATGCAGCTTCATGCTGCCTCTGGGCACACGTTAGGCACACTGAGAGGCTGGGAAAGACATGCCCTGCAAACAGTGCCAGCAGAGGAGCTGGGGTGCGACACTCATGTCACACAGATGGAAACAGAGGCATCACTAGAGAATGCTATGGAGCCGAATGTCCCCTAAAAGCCCTGGAGTGGAAGGCTTTGCCCTACGGTGATTCTATGGGAGGTAGTGGAGCCTTTGAGAGTTGCGGGGTCTTTAGGTCATTGAGGCTGTGCCCTTGGAGGGAATAGTGGGGCCCTAGCCTCTCTCTCTTTTTCTTTTGCTTCACTGCCAAGGTGAGCAACTCACTCCACCACATGCTCCTGCCATGAAGTACTGCCTTGTCACAGCCTCAAAGCAATTGGGCTGCTTGATCATGAACAAGAGCCTCCAAAACTGTAAGCCAAAATAAACCTTTTATCTTTATAAGTTATTTCTTGAGCAGCAGAATAAACTGGCGAGGCTCATAGCAGACACCCTAGAGCTCCCACCCAGCAAAGCCAAAGGCACACCTTACTCAGGGGCACAAGACACTCTTCAGGACGGGCCTCATGCTGGGCTACAAACAGGTGCCAGTTGTCTGAGGGAAAGGCTCTTGACCAGCACAAAGGCAAGGGGAAGGCACACAAAGGCTTGTGGAAGAGGTGGTGAGGACCTGGGGAGACGGCTGCAGGAAAGCCAGGGTGTGTCTAGCAAGTGCCAGCTGTGGACTCTGTGGAGGGGTAAGGGGTGGGCAGGGTAACCAGGAGCATGGTGAAGAGGTGCTGCACACCACTCCAGGCCGGCCATGCGTGTGGAGGGTGAAGGACATCAGGTGCCAAGCTGAGCAGCTCCGTCTTGATCCTGAGGTCCTGGACAAAAGCCAGAGCGGGGGGAATGGATTCACTGACTGCTGCAGGACACGTCAGACCTTCTGTTAGCCATCTGTCCATCACCGAGACAAAATACCTGATGCACATCAAGTTAAATCACATGTTCCCGTGGTATCAGAGACTTCAGTCCATGGCCTGGGCTCTGCTGCTTCTGAGCCTCTGGTGATGAAGCATGTCATGGTGGGTATGCACGCAGAGCTGCTCCTCTCATGCTGTCTGGGACGCAGAGGAGGAGGGTTTGGGTCCCCATTCTCTCCAAGGACCCACCCCCGGTGACCTAAAATCTCCCTCTAGGCCCACCTCCAAATGTTTCCCCATTTCCCAATAGTACTGTGGGCTGGGGCCACACCTCCAACAGACTGCCTCTGAAGACATTCAAGGTCCAACCACAGCAGACCCGGGGACAGTACATGACATGAGTAGTGGGCTGACATAGGCAGAGACCAATGAAGAAGGCTTCAGCACCAATCCAGGAAGACGGACAATTGAAGAGATGTTCCCCAAGTTGAAGCAGAGTGAAGGATCTCTGAATCCCAAATTTATGGCTCAGTGAGAACACCCTATTATCTGAAGGTGCTGACACAGGTGGATCACCAAAGGGGCCCTTCTTTCTCAGCTCAACCACAGCTGTAAGACTTGCATTGGCTTTTTAAAATGTCAGCAGTTTACTTAAAAGTAAGCTGCCTGAGGTGTGGCTCAACGATACAGAAGTTAGCCTGCAGCAGGCCCTGGATTCAGACTTCAGCAGCATTAAAAGAAAAAAAAAAATTAACTTCCTAAGAATTTGGTTTGATATTTCATTCTACTCCAGGTTCTGGCTAATAGCCCATGTTCCACGTTGACTTCTGGACATGACAGACTTTAGGCCTCTGGTGCTATCAGGAAGAAAAGAAGTGAACCCACCCTTGCTATCTATCTTAGAACTCCAGCCAGAGGCTCCAAGGGCATTGGGGTGGAATTTTAAAGAGACCCTGTGGCTCAGAATGTCGCTCCGAGAGACAAGATACAGTAAAGCTCCATGTGACCTTCACCAGCCTGTGGATCAGCGGTTCAGGGGCAAGGAGCCGCTGGCCCTGCGCACGCATCCGCCAAGCCCTGCGTGGAGGCCCTGGCGGCTCCCCAGCAGCTCCCAGGGCAGGAGCGCCAGCTCTGTAGGGCCGCGGTGGCGCGGCCGGGCCGGGCTCAGATCCCCAGGCCTGGGCTGGCAACGCCCCCACGCGGATGGGGTCCGGTAACTGCAGCCTTTCCCCCGCGGGTTTAGGAACCCGAGCAGCGGCGAGTCTCTAGAAAACGTTGGGCCGCTGGAGGCAGATCCAAGTGCGCTCCAGGGGAAAGGATCTGGCTTCCAAAGATTTCCAAACTGGTAAGTGTCTAGGGGTGATTCTCCCCAATAATCCACAGAAACAACAGTAACCTAAAAATAGTCTTGTTTTCTGTCCTAAGCTTCTTTTAACCTTGTTAGTCATCACCAATTCTTAAAATAAAATCCGTGTACCGTCTCTCCTAGTAGCAGCTATAAACAAACCCCCGAGAGCAGGCCGGAGGAAGAGGAAAGGAGGCGGAAGGGCCGCGCCGGGAGCGCAGGACCCAGGCCGGTGTCGGTGGTGGCCGCAGGGCCAGCGCACAGCAGTGGGCTGGCCGCGCGCCGCGCGCCGCCCCTCGGAACTCCAGCGCCCTGGCGCGCCGCCACCGTGGTCCCGGCAACGGCATTAAACAGAGGGAAACAGGCCCGGGATTCCGTCACCGCGGGGATAAGGAGGGCATTGAGAGACAGGAAAGAGCTGCGCTAGACGGCGAGAGCCTCTCACTGGGGGAGGTGCCGGGGAGGCGAGAGGAAGAGGAGGAGGAAGAGGGAAGGAAGAGGAAGACGGGGCGCGGGAGGGAGGAAGAGGAGGAGGAGAGGGAGGGCCGAGGGAGAGCACGGCCCGGGCCGCGCGCCGCCGCGCGGGGGGGGGGGCGGGGTGCGGGGGGCGCAGTCACGACTTGCCAGGCCTCCCCGGCCTCGCGGACGCCTTCAAGGACGCGCCCGGACTCTGCCCTCCCGCCGCGCCACGGACGACCGTGCTTTTGTCCCCGCGAGGCGCTGTGGGGCAGACGAGGGCAAGAACAGGAACTCTCCGGGAAAAATTCTGGCTTCCCGGTCTGGGGATACCGGGATTTATGGAAGGATTTTTTTTTTTTTTTTTAACGACAGGCCGCGGGCAGCGCAGCCCTGGCCCCCTCTAGCGGCGGCCTCTTTCTGTCTTGAAGCACCCCAGGCTTCGCCGTCCTCGCGCGGTTACTCCCCAACACAGAGATCTTCGCGTGCTCTCCCTCCCCTGCTTCATCCCGGCTGGGTCACCTACCACCGACCTGCTCGCGGGGTCCCCCAGTGTCCTCGCTCCCGCTCAGTATACTCTTGCCCCACCCCCACCCCTGCAGGCCCCTCTGCTCTGGGTATCCAGGACACCCAGGCGAGTGCCAGCCCCGGTTTCCCCCTGGAAACGGGCTCGCAGGTAGCCACACTCGAGGGGCACTGGCACTGGCAGTGGCAAGGCTGTCCCTATTCCTCCGATCCCTCTGGGCATCTCTCTCTTTGGCGGGGAAAAAGGGACTTTAGTTCTTCTTGGTGGAAGCCGCTGGAAGGATCCCGAAGACGGCAGGGGTGGAGTTCTTGCACCTTCCGAAAGTTTAACGTCGAATCCTCTTGGCCAGCGCCACTCACTGGCTAGATCAAAGGTTGACCCAAGCCCTCCTCCCCGCCCCCACTTCCCGGAGTCCTGGGATCCTTCGGGGTACCCACTGGCACAGTAATATGCCCAGGAGCCCCGCACCTTCTTGGCACCCGCCGAGAACACGCTTTTTGCTTTGGGGCTTCTTTTAAACTACATGAAGTGTGAATAGATTCACGATTTCTCTTACCCTTCTCCACACCCCCACCCCAGCATTCCCAATCCTTTCCGTCCAAAGCCAACAAGAAAATACGGTCCGGTTTTGGCAGTTGAGGGGCGCCCTAGGGGGTGCGGGGAGATTTGAAAGAGAAAAGTTCACAGTGACACGGGACGGATCCTCAGAGGCTGCCCGCACCAGCCCTCCCCGCTCCACCGCGGATCCGAGATCCCACAGTTGCGCCTACAGAACGTCTTTAACCCTCCCCCCACGGGGGCAGCGCGGAACTCTCCAGGGTCCAGAGAAGGGTCTGCGCAGGTTTGCGCGCTCTCCTAGACATCCCCTTCCTCAGCTCATGCAACAGGCGATCTGGGTCGCACAGATATTTACAGAATAAGGAGGACGGTATCTGGACTTCCCGGGACGGCCAACAATCTGTTAGTAATTTAACGGGATGGGAATTTCCTTTCTCGGGCCTGCCAGTGGAAGCGCTTTTCCAAATTTCCACAGCAGGGGAAGCCTGCGATTTTACATAATGACTTCAGCATGCAGGGCTTTCTCTGCACCCCTCCCCCGCCTCCTACGCCCCCAGCCCCTCATTAAGCAGAGTGTTTTTCTCCCGGGGTACCGCGTGGACCCACGTCTTGCCTGTTCATCCGTCTCCCCTTCCTGCGCCCCTTCTCTCCCATTTCGTCTCCACCAGCCCCCTTGTCCCTCATGCGCGCCTTGAACCAATTTCCTACTAGAGCGCCCCTGCCCGCCCTTTTTGTCCCCATCCCCACGTCTTGGGCGCCTCTGCTTCCCCCCCCCCCCCCCGGGTTCCCCGACCCACTCCCTGCTGTTCTGCTGGCCTTCGGGCACTCAGGCTAGCTCCTGTGTCCCTGTTGCCCGCTGGTGAGCGAGCTCCTAGCTCCCAGTGCGCCCCCGCCGGCCTCCGGGCACTTCTGCCCACCCCCAGGCGCCCCTCCGGCCCGGCGCAGCGGCTGGGAGGGCGGCGCTCGGAGACTAGTCCCCCGGGCCCCGCGCCGGCTCGGGCGGGCAGGGGCGTGATGTCACGGCAGGGAGGGGGCGCGGGAGCGGCTGGGCCGGCGGGGAGGCGGGGGAGGTGTTTTCCAGCTTTAAAAAGGCAGGAGGCAGAGCGCGGCCCTGCGTCAGAGCGAGACTTGGAGGCTCCGGACTCAGCGGCGGAGTCGCCGCGCGGGATCCCAGCGACCCGGCTCGAGCTCCGGCGCGAGGTGCACACCTCCAACCCGGGTCTGCCACGCGCGCACACCCCCCATGACAGCTCTCCGCGGCGCGCGGCGCTGAGCGGGCCCAGCGCGTGTCCGCAGGGGAGAGGTCCGACTCCCAGAGCCCGGCCCCGGTGCTCGCCGCCGGCTCCCGCTCCTCCTCCCGCCGCTCGCCGCCGCCGCCGCCGCGTGGATGCCAAGTACCAGCTTCCCTGTCCCTTCCAAGTTTCCACTCGGCCCTCGAGCCGCATTCTGCGGGAGCGGAGAAACTTTGGGGCCCGTGTTGCCCGCCGTCAGTACCATGAAGGCGGCGGAGGAAGGTAAGCCCGCGCCCCCTCTGAGCCCCCTGCCCACCACTAGCCGCCGAACCTCACGGTGGATCCACTCGGGACCCTGCGCTCAAGCGGGATCTGAGCGCCCAGGGAAGGCGCGGGCGGCCGGAGCCGCACAGATGGGGCAGGGTGTCCCCCTGGTGTTTCCCCGGCGCAGCCCTGATTTCCAGCTCGCTTTCTTGCCAATAGGTGTCTCCTCTTTTCTAGCGCGGAGAATGCGAACTTGGCGCTGGCTGGGCCAGCCTCGCCACGATCCGGGCTGTGGAAACAGTTCAGATGCGAGCGATTTGGGGACCAGGCGAGGTAGGGCTGTCAGAACCACAAAGGACACTTTGTGATGAATGAGGTTTCTGTGGCGCTGAGGGATGGCCCGGTTTATTCTCGAGGGCGGCAAGGCCGCCTTTGGAGGTGAAGAGGAGCCCCACAACATGAGGTTTGGGGTTCTGCGCCTTTTCCGCCCAGGCTCGTAGGCACCTCTTCCTGAACGCCCTGCTGGGTCAACTGGCCCCAGGTGGCCGAGGCGTGGTCAGGGTTGTGGCCAAATGTCCAGCTCTAACTCAAGCCATTCTGCATCGTTTAGACAAGATAATTTGGACTAGAAAAAGCTTTGGGAAAGGTTGAAAAGGGGCCGACAGGGTTCAAGCTGCTGCTTCCTGGTAAAGGTGCCTCAGTGCCCGACCTGACCTGTAGATGGCCAGTGCAGATGATAGGGCTCCAGACTCTCCTGTGGGGCCCCCTGGTTTACCTTCAAGCCCCTTGTCCCCTTGAAAGAACCATCACAATAACAAAATCCCCTGGTGGGCTCCTGCAGGTGTTTTTAAAAACAACCTGGAGAGGGATGATTGGCTGCTAGGAGGGATTAGGATGGCCCCATAACGTGGAAACTGGGAAACACCTCTCCAAATTTCTTATCAGCTCTTTAGTATGTTACTTAAAATCACTGGAAGAAAGCTGGCAAACCTGCCGATGCTGGTGCGTTCTCACGTTTTTTAAGGGCAGACGTCCTCCTGTCGAGCACCTGAAAGGAAATGCTAGTTTCCTGCATGGTTCTAATAAATGTTTCAGGCCCTCACACTGGAACTGCAGCTCCCATAGACTTCCAGCTTTGGAGACCTTGCTTATCTTAACCAAAGATGAACTCAAGAACTTACATTCAACACAAGAGGATCATTATTTCCAGTGCCCTGATGTCCCAAGTAGGAAGCATCTTGTGAAATTGGATAAGACACTGCTTATGTTTCTTAAAATTTCATTTCTAGCTTGAATGTTGAACTATCAGGCAGTGTTTTAATGCTTACACAATGAGCTCTTGCTATGAAGTGTGGGGTTTGAATTTTGAGCCCCTGGACACTTACTTCTGCACATATTTGTCACTGCTTAAAAAAAAAAGAGAGATCTTTCTAAGTTTAGATTTCTTTGAAGAGTCAGTGTTTCATTCCATAGTAAAAAGGTTTTTTTTTTCCACTTACAAGAGGAAAACACTTTTGTGGGGGATAGTGGTTATTTTTCACATTTTGCTTAGGAAAATAAGTTTGAAAATGCTCTGCTAAAAGGCAGTGGACTAGGGGCAGTGATGCCATTGATTACACAGTTATGGGATGTGTATAGGGACTACAAAATTGGGCTATCCAGAAAGTGGGA